GAGACCTGAGGAGGAAAGCAGCTCGCCCTGGAATGCATCAGCAAACTGTGGATTTTCAGAGAAACGCTCATTATCTCTGCCTCCTCCTCCTCCTCCTCCTCCTCCTCCTCCTCCTCCTCCTCCTCCTCCTCCTCCTCCTCCTCGCTGAGGTAAACAGCTCCTCTGTGAAGCTGCCAGGTGTGGCAGCTTCACAGAGCCGCTTCACCTTCACACCTCCAGGCCTCGTTTAGCAGAGTTCAGCTGCAGCTCGTTACCTTCAAACACAAAGGTCCAACTGGGACCCACATGAGGAGCAGAGGGGAAGTGGATCAGAACCACGGCCCGGTCCAACATCACAGGATTCTCTCTCAGTCACCTGCTGTTAAGCTTTGTTGTTGGGATCCATCAGAAATAAAATAAACTAAAACAAGCTGCGTTGTTCTATAGAACCAGATCCAGGAGCTCAGCAGCTTCAGAGACTGTTTGGTTCTGATTGGACCTAGTTAGACAGACTTTATTGTTTGTCTCAGTCTAAGAAATGTCAATGCATAGAGCTTACAGCAGTGATCAGAGGAATTTGATGCAAAATGCAGTAGAAACATTGAGTTCTATTTAAAGAGATTATGAAAAAATCTGCTATTTAGTGCAACTAATGTTCCTGTTTGGCTGTGACTCCATCCTGGAGAGAAATATCAGCTGTGCTGCTGCCATCAACACCTTTGTTTCTAGATGTTGGAGCTTGGCCTGTTTTCCAGTGTAGTCCTGTTTCTCTGACTGTGACTAACTGGATGTGCTCTCTTCATCCTCTGACATGGGAGCTGGCTCGGAGCTCGTCTGCCTGGCTGTGTGTTTCCTGGACGGGGCCGCCTGTGGAGCTGGTTGACAGTTGCCTTTTGTATCTATGCTTCTTTTTCTATGTCTGCTTCTGTCTCCTTGAACCCCAGTGGGCCTCAGCAGATGGCCGCTCACACTGAGCCTGGTTCTGCTGGAGGTTTCTTCCTGTTCAAAGGGAGTTTTTCCTCTCCACTGTCGCTACAAGCATGCTTAGTGTGAGGGATTGCTGAAGAGTCAATGAATCGATGCAATCAGCTGGTTTTCCTTAGATAGAAAACTTTGAATCAATCTGGATGATCTGGTTGATCTGGATCTATAAAGTGACCTGAGATGACATGATGTAAATTGGAGCTATAGAAATAAACTGAATAGAATTGAAATACACTATATTGCCAAAAGTATTTGCTCACCCATCCAAATTATTGGAATCAGGTGTTCCAATCACTTCCATGGCCACAGGTGTATAAATTCAAGCACCTAGGCATGCAGACTGTTTTTACAAACATTTGTGAAAGAATGGGTCGCTCTCAGGAGCTCAGTGAATTCCAGCGTGGAACTGTGATAGGATGCCACCTGCGCAACAAATCCAGTCGTGAAATTTCCTCGCTCCTAAATATTCCACAGTCAACTGTCAGCTGTATTATAAGAAAATGGAAGTGTTTGGGAACGACAGCAACTCAGCCACGAAGTGGTAGGCCACGTAAACTGACGGAGCGGGGTCAGCGGATGCTGACGCGCATAGTGCGAAGAGGTCGCCAACTTTCTGCAGAGTCAATCACTACAGACCTCCAAACTTCATGTGGCCTTCAGATTAGCTCAAGAACAGTGCGCAGAGAGCTTCATGGAATGGGTTTCCATGGTCGAGCAGCTGCATCCAAGCCATACATCACCAAGTGCAATGCAAAGCGTCGGATGCGGTGGTGTAAAGCACGCCGCCACTGGACTCTAGAGCAGTGGAGACGCGTTCTCTGGAGTGACGAATCGCGCTTCTCCATCTGGCAATCTGATGGACGGGTCTGGGTTTGGCGGTTGCCAGGAGAACGGTACTTGTCTGACTGCATTGTGCCAAGTGTAAAGTTTGGTGGAGGGGGGATTATGGTGTGGGGTTGTTTTTCAGGAGCTGGGCTTGGCCCCTTAGTTCCAGTGAAAGGAACTCTGAATGCTTCAGCATACCAAGACATTTTGGACAATTCCATGCTCCCAACTTTGTGGGAACAGTTTGGAGCTGGCCCCTTCCTCTTCCAACATGACTGTGCACCAGTGCACAAAGCAAGGTCCATAAAGACATGGATGACAGAGTCTGGTGTGGATGAACTTGACTGGCCTGCACAGAGTCCTGACCTCAACCCGATAGAACACCTTTGGGATGAATTAGAGCGGAGACTGAGAGCCAGGCCTTCTCGTCCAACATCAGTGTGCGACCTCACAAATGCGCTTCTGGAAGAATGGTCAAAAATTCCCATAAACACACTCCTAAACCTTGTGGACAGCCTTCCCAGAAGAGTTGAAGCTGTTCTAGCTGCAAAGGGTGGACCGACGTCATATTGAACCCTATGGATTAGGAACGGGATGTCACTTAAGCTCATATGTGAGTCAAGGCAGGTGAGCAAATACTTTTGGCAATATAGTGTATGTTATCAGTTTGATGCAGAGTCTGTGATTTAGAGTTTCCTCATCAGTTCATCAGTGTGATGGCGGTGGGAAGAAGCTGCTGCAGAACCTGCTGGTCCTGCATTGAATGCTGGGAAGCCTCTTCCCAGAGGGCAGCATGGTGGGGGGGGTGAGGGGTCATTGATGATGTCACGGGACACGCAGCGCTGGGATGAAATGTCCTTAATGGAGGGAAGAGGAGCCCCCATGATCCTCTCTGCTGTTCTCACCTTCTTCCAGTCTGAGGCGCTGCAGCCTCCACAGCACACAGTGAGACAGCTGCTCAGAACGCTCTCTATGGGGGGGAGGATGGGGGGGGCAGGTGGGCTCTCCTCCTCCTCTCCTCCCCCTCCTCCTCCCCTCCTCCTCCTCTCCCCCTCCTCTCCTCCTCTTTCCAGGTTGGTGTAGAATCTATATCATGTGGTTCTACGCATCAACACATCAGGTGGTTTCTGAAAGTTACAGGTTCTTTAAAATGATCTGATACATTTAATTCAACACAGTCTCACTCCCAACTCGTCACATATTAAGTACTTTTAAAGTGAGTACTTTAATACTTTAACCTCAGTAGATGTTTAACTGAGAAACTTTTTCTTGTAGTTGACTAAGATTTGACGAGTATAAATACTTTTACTCAAGTATTACTGCTGAGTACTTTTTCCACCTGATTAAAAGACCTGGAAGTCTGAGACACAAAAAATATTAATTTGATCTAAATAATTGAATTAGATGTGAAAAACATGCAGACAAATCCAATGATCAAAATAACAAAAAAAAGCCTTAAAGCTGCAGTCTGTAACATTGAGGAGAGAGCAGACTTCGACTGAAAATTTGAAGAACAACAGGTTTCACTCCACTCCCCCACCCTCTCTGCTTCACTCATGCCCCACCTCCAAGCTCCACCCCTGTCACAGCATCTGCGCGGCTACCGCATGCGACCAGAAGGGGGGGGGGGGGGGGGCGGGATTCAGCGTGTGTGAGCTGTGATTGACACTCCATCAGACGCTCCTCTGGCTGTGATTGGTTGTTTTGACTCGTCCCGAATTATTCTTTCCAGATTGAAATACAGGCAGTAGGCGGGACCAATTGAAGCAGTTTTTTTCACAGGTTACATATCACATGTACTGCTGTCTGGGCATAGGGACAGTTTTAGCCAATATGACAAAAAAGTGATTTTTAAAAACTTACAGACTTCAGCTTTAAATCAATAATTTAATTTAGTTTCCAATCAGACTTTTATTTTGAAAGCAGACTTCAGGTTCCAGTCTGAGACGAACACAGAAACATCATTTAACAATAATAGTTTATTATTATTATACTGAATTTATGGCCTGCTGAGGTTTTATTTCTCTCCTGATTCCAAACATCTTTAGCTTCTTGTTGGTGTTTATTCCTGGAGTCAGAAAAAACAAGAACTCCTGACCCGAATGTCTCCTGCAGGCCTCCGTAGAGCCAGACGGATGGACGCTGCTGCTGTTAGAGCAGAGATGCATCCAAAGGCTGCAGGATGGAAGCTCCTCAGACTCAGACGGCTCGGATTTAACAGCTTTATGTTCCTGTTTATGTTCCAGATTAATTAGGAGGATTTTACAGATTGATTCCAGAGCAGGAAAACATCCAGTCTGTGCAGAAACCTCATCATGGCCGACATGCAGGACACCGACCTCCCTGGAGGAACAAGGTGACTCAGACCCTGAGGGAGACGCAGAGACCCCCCCCCCCCCCCCCCCCCCCACCTTCTGCTTCCTCCACAGATCTTCAGCTGCAGCTTCTGGGATCATAAAGTTCATTTGATCTCATCTTTCATCATTTTACAGCGTCATTAAAATCGTTCACATGTGAGGCTTAGAAACTGGATCCAGGACTAAGCTTTGTTATTCCAAGGCTGGACTTTGGTTATAATATCTATAAAAACGATTCATGCATTACTTTCGCAGATTTAGTTACTTTAAAACAATTGTTTAATGTTTCTACTGCGTTATCATTTAATGCATTTTAAATAATACAATAATATACTTCCTCTCTGCAGGTTTTAGATGCTTCTCTGCTGCAGAGCATCTGATTCCAATTCAGCAGAAACCTAAACCTCACAGGGAGGTGACACCTGAGGAGCAGGACTGAGGAGGTCCCACCAGGAGGAACCCAATCCCTCTGAGGAAACCCTTCAGCCACTAGATTCCAGGATCTCGCTCTTTACTCATGGGCATAGATGAGGGCAGGAGCGTAGATCCAGCGGATGAGGAGAGGATGCAGCAGGAGACTGAAGGAAGGAGCTGCGCCTCCTCCAAGCAGGAGTTCTGATTCTCCTCATTCTGGGTTTATTCAAAGCAAATCAGAACAACGTGCATCTTTCTGAAATCATTTAATACAGAAAATAACCTGCTTGGGATTTTTTCCATCATCTGCAGGAAAATCAGATTCTAACTAAATCTATCAGAATATTTCTAGATCTGCCCAAAGAGGTTTACAGCAGTTCTCCTCAGATCTAGATCCAGCAGAACCTGCTGGTTCCGTTCAGTTAGAAAGAAAGACATAGTTCTGTAGTCCCGGTGGGTCTCTCCGTCCTGGGCCCACGGGTCACTCCACCACCAGCTCGAACTCCTCCGCCTCCTGGAACTCTGCGTTCATCTGAGCCACCAGAACCTCCACCTGCTGGGAGTCGATCGGCTGGACTCTCCTCCTCCTGCTCCTCTTCTCCTTCACCACCGCCACCCCGGGAATGTTGGGGTCCGGTTCGGGGCAGCATTCATCGGCCTCCAGCATAGACACCAGTGACCCAGAAACCTCCAGAGCGCCCCTGGAATGCTCCACCCGGCTCCGGACCACCTCCGGGGTGTGGAGCCTCTCGAAGCCGAACAGATCCTCCCTGTTCCCGGGGCTGTGGAGCGAGGAGTCGCTGATCCTGCTGTAGGAGCGGCGGACCTTCTGCGTCCAGACCGAGTCCTGGAGATCCGGAGGCTGGGAGGAGGCCGGAGGAGAGGAGGCCAGGATGGGTGAGGGGGCGGCGGCCTGCTGCTGCCTCCTCTTCCCGGTAGAGGAGGAACCGCGGATGGGTGAAGGTGCGGCGGCCTGCCGCTGGTTCCTCTTCCCGGCTGAGGAGGTCAGACGGTCCGGTCCAGACTTCGGGGTGGTGACCGTGGTCTCCCGGTGGTTCTTCGGGGTGTTTTCCTTGTTGCTGTCGGACAGAGCGGTGGTTTTCCTGGGAGCGATCTTCCTCACAGTGATGGAGCGCTTCTCTCCAGGCGCCATCTTGGCGCTTCTTTCCCTCGGAGCTCCTGCGGAACCAAACCGAGGAGAAGTTCTCCGCCGGGAGGCTTGGAGGTGGTTGGCCTCCGCCATGGCGGTGCGGGGCGTCCCTTCGCTCATCCCGGTAAAATCCCGCTTCTTTTCTCGGTAATCTGCTCAGATCTGCGGCCGCCGAAACAAACACAGCAGCCTGGTTTTAAAATTACCCGCCTTTAGACGCGGAGACCTGCTGATGACGCAATCATTAGGCGACGGTGAAGCTCCCCACTTTTGCTGTGTAATCCGAAGAGCAGGAGCTCCAACGCGGTTTCAGCCTCCTTGTTTTTTCCTAATAATCCACATTTTGCTTGCCGGACATCATGGAATATTTAATCGGGATTCAGGGGCCGGACTACGTGCTGGTCGCCGCTGATAATGTGGCCGCTAGCAGCATTATTCAGATGAAACACGGTATGCTTACCCGTTAGCTTAGCTTAGCATTTCCTTCGCCGGTGCTTTTCAGGCCTCCTCTACTTTTTAACTTGTGCTTTATAACAGCTTGACCTGGTTTTAAGTTTTTATCTATGTAAATATAACATCTAAATGTGCTTTAGAGGTGATAAACTATAGTAAACCGCTGTGAAATTGTGAAGTAAATGAGCTAATCGCGCTGCTACTATCAGGTTTGTTATTGTTGTAGTTTTATTCAACAGCATTTCTGTTTCCTTTTATGCTGGAATCAGATTTAAGTGAACATCTTGTTCTGTTAGCCTGGATGTTTCCTGCTCAATCTAACGCCATCAGAAGCAGCTCAGAGCTGCCTGGCTTCGCACTGAAACTGAAAGTCATGACTGGATCTGATCTGGCAGAGAATTAATCCCTGATGAATCATCAGCTGATCAGAGGGACGCTACACCGGATCCTCTGATCGAACCGGACAATAATAAACACATCAAGCATCAGTGGGAGGTCAGGTCTAAGGATGAGATCTAAACTTAGACTCAGCTTTATTAATCCCTTCATTTACTCATTCAGGGAGATTCTGGTTCCAGTTGCTTCTATAGAGAACAAAGAGTTAAAGCAAGATGCCATTAAAACAAAAATACAACAGTCAATAGAAAAAGAGTGAATATAGTACAAAATAGAATAAAAGCTATAATGTCCTGGAATATGTTTCCCTTAGTGGAGAGCTAAGGGCAGATTACACAGCAGGATTATTGGACTGCAGAGATGGACTGACCTTAGAAATAAGTAAAGAAAATGACTCATAAATACTAATTTCAGTGAAATTTCTCCAGTTGAATCCAAGAAGGCACCAAAGTTAACTGATGTGGTTTAGTTGTGGGTTACAAACATAATTTAGTTTAGCTTATTGTGTCTCAATGAATCAAATAAATCCTGATAAAACTTAAAGCATTCCCAGTTATGGGCCCGGGAAGCGGCCATCGCCTGCAGAGGAAGTTCAGCCACTAGGTGGGGGTGTGTTGGAGCTGCAGGCCGTTTAAAACATGTAGAGGCACCATGGCAGCCAGCAGGTCCTCTGAGGTCCTCACTGCCTGGCCTGAAAGAAAAAACATTGCTAAAGAACGTAGCAACAGGTGGGGGAGGGGGTGTTTTGGGACTGCGCTTCACACAATCCAGAGAGCTGTTTTTACATTCAGCCCTGCTAATAAAAGAGAAGCAAACATTAAGTTTTAAAGAGAGGAAAATATGACTTTTATTCAATAATTATCCACATAAATCTGTCTTTTTTTATAATCTCTATTTCAAATCTAAGGTTTTAAAATGAAAGGAAAAAACTTGCAAAAAGAGAGAAAAAATTCTGATGCAGAAAATTCTGTTAAAAAACAAACTTTTTCCTACTTTAAAAGCTATAAATATATATATAATTCTGTTATAGTTAGATTCAATTCATTTTGGAAAATTAACGCAATAAATCAACGGAGAAAAGTTGACCAACATCTGTTGGTAGATCTGTTCTTCCAAAGGTTAGACTTTGTGGTTTTTTAAGAGCCACAGACTGCAGATCCAGACAACTGAATGATCTCAGAGTTCCGGGTTCGAAGCAGAGCCGCATTTATAAGGCAGCAGTGGAAGAATCCTGCTTTCAACCATAGGAATGGTGCAAATAAAAACTAGATTGGTTTGTAAAGTTGACCCATGGGTTCCATACGGACTCCTCTGACCTGGTCCGGTCGGGTCCGGCTTTCGGTCGATTAAACTGGCGGCTCTGCTTTCTTTCAGACTATGACAAGATGTTCAAGCTGAGTGAGAAGATCCTGCTGCTGTGTGTGGGGGAGGCAGGAGACACGGTGCAGTTTGCTGAGTACATCCAGAAGAACGTTCAGCTCTACAAGATGAGGAACGGTGGGTCCATCGTCGCCCGACCGGCTCATCCTGACGCCTCCTGCTTCTTCACGCTTTTCCCTGCTCTGATTTCCAGGTTATGAACTGAGTCCCTCAGCAGCTGCCAACTTCACACGGAAGAACCTGGCAGACTACCTCCGGAGCAGGGTAACTATTCTGACTCGCTGCAGAGAACAGAAAGCTCAAAAAATGACAGCATGTTGCCATGGTGACCTGGGTGAGCTGCTGGCTGGGGGGTGGGGTCGTTCCAGAGACGTAGGCCGATGCCAACCTGGTCCACTCTGGGTTTCCCAGTACTCCCAGAACCGAGCTCTGCTGGATGAGGGAGGAAGGACCAGCTGATGGTAGAGATGCAGAAACCTCTCACTTCTATTCGTTTCCAGGAACTGAAGCTGGTTTATAGATCTGCTACATGTAGAGTGGGATATCTCAGGTCTGGTTTCTTGGAACTTGAGGATTCTGTTTCATAGAAAATAAAAACTAGATTTTTCCATCAGAACATTAAGAAGGAAATTCTAAACAGAAATGTTTGGATGAGTTTCTATCCAGTCTGAAGTTCTGCTTCCTGCGTCGGATCGCTGTGCAGCCAGAGGCCCATCAGAACCTTTACGCTTTATTAGCCAAAGATACGCAGGAACCAAATATTTCAGCACGAGTTAGCCGGCGTACGTACGAAAAAATCTGGCATACACTGGATGAGTTATGGGTACGCTGAAACATGTCGACATACGGCGAGTACGTCCTTGATGTACGCCATCCGTGGGCCATCAGTTCCAGGTCAGTTATCTGATGGTCGACATCCGTTCAGTGTCGGTTCCTCATCAGTCATGGCGTCTAGCTGATCCTAAACCTCTGACTAACTTATCCAGAACTTCTCTCCAACATATCAGTGTATCTGACGTGTTCCAGACGAGCGCTGAACGTGTTTCTACCTTCCAGCTGCTGTATAATGGCGTATTGGCAGCGTTTTGGTATAAAGGGGGTTCACAGGAGGAAACCGTCAGTTCTCCTCCAGACTTCATCCCCATCATAGGGTGAGCCAGAAGGTGAGTGATCCTCCCTACGTTCACGCCCACCACCAACACACTTCCTAGCAGACATGATCAAAAACATCCCAAATATTTGGTTCCTCGTTTATCTTTGGCAAATAAAGAGTAAATGTTTTTATATTCACTGTTTTCCACCATGGGAGAAATAAACAGTAAACATCTTGGTGGTGATTTCATTTGTTCCTCTGAAATATTTGCTTCCACACGTTTGTTGTCTGTAACCTGACCAGGATGTTAGTGAATAGATGTGGGGATAAACCGGCCCGATATAAAGATTGTGGTTTAATTTCTTTCCCATCGGGTGACAAAACCTTCCAGTGTGAGAGTTAGGGAGAGAAATATGTCTCTAGAAATGAGAAACAAAATTGTTGTATGTTTGCTGGGAGAATGAGGTTCTTCAGTTCTACCTCTGCTGTGTGATTATTTTAGAGCAAACATCAATGACTGAATAAGCAAATAATCCATCAATAATCCATTAATAATCCAGCAATGGGTGGTGAATCAGAAGGTGATCAATCAGCAGAGCCTCCATGCTGGTAGCTGATATTAGTCTGATTATTAGTGAACCAGGAAGGACATTTTCTCTGTGAAAACATGAAGCTGTAAATAGAAAAAAAACCCCTCAATACTCTGCTTTATTCTGTTTTTATTTCTGAGTTATTTTTACCATAAACTGTAAATTTAAAGCGAGAACCTCGACATGAAGGTCTGCCGTCGTTTAGCCGTCAGATCCACCGAAGGTCTGATCCTCCTTCTGGATGCAGAGAGACGCAGAGGAGCAGATCTTCTCAGAACCAGGAGACGACTGAGATCACTGACTGAAAACGTCCCACTGGACGCTGCTCCGGGCCCCCAGGGACCTCCATGTTTTAGATCCGTCTCTGTTCCAGCCCCCTGGTTCTAATCAGGCTCCTCCTCTGCAGTCAGAGCTGCGGAAGTCTGTTGATAATCTGTTCTGGTGTGATGCAACAAGGAGACGCCGAAAACATGGAGGACGGTTCCCCGAGGATCAGAGCGGGGGTCCCAGAGGATCAGAGCGGGGGTCCACTGCTTTAGGACCCCCGCTCTGATCAAATAAAAATAAAATGATTACTTTGTGAAACCAAGCAGCGTTTAGTTTCTCTTCAGTCCAGATTAGAAGCTTTCATGGATCAGTTGGAGCTGTTCTGTTTAACCTGCTGAACTTTTTCCTTCCACTCAACTTTCTATGATCATCAGCAGCTTCTCCAGGTGAAGCTCCAGTCAGCTGATGTTCTAGTTTTCTGGTCTCTGAAGGCCGCAAACATCAAAATGATAAGAAATAATCCACCCTGTGTGAGAGGGATGCCTTTCTGGAAACCAGAGATGATGATGATGATGATGAGCTAAGCTAACCGTAGCCCTGAAGGGACAGATGGAGAGATTCTGGTTCTGTTGGAGGCTTTAGAAACGTAACAGAAGCTCATTAGAACCGTAGAGCCGGAACATTCCCGGCCTTCCCGCTCAGATGCTCCGCTCCATGAGGAAGCAGCTTCCTGCAGGTGTAGCGATGGTCTGGTCTGCAGGCGGGTGGAGCCAAGCAGAGCTTTGTTTGTCAGCAGCAGATTGTTTCTGCAGCTAAATATGGGCTGCAAATGATTTGCTAATTATTTCATTTTACACAAAGTCCCAACTGTTGGTAGAAAGTGAGCTGAACAAAAAAAGTGTGAAAGGCGGGGGGGTGATGAACCCAGAAGTCTGAGGTTTCTGTTCCCGCCCGCCGGGGCTGTCGGGTTGAACTCTGTCGCTCCGAGTCGTTTCTGTTGCACTAATTTGTTAAGAAAAGTGCAGCCGGTGCCTGTCACAACAGCACAGGCTGAAAATAATTACAAAAAACAATTAGAGGCAGAGGAGGGAATGTGGGACACATGGAGGGGGGGGCGGGGGTGGGGGGTCCCAGGGGAGGGCAGGCAGGTTGAGCAGGAGTCGGCGCTCAGCGGCAGACTGGGAAGGACCTGTAGGATCCCTTCCTGATTGATATTCATCCTCCTCTGCCTCACGCTGAAGAGCTGAGGCCAACAGGAGAACTTCCTGCTCCGCTTCCCGCCCCTTCCTGCAGCCATTACACCCCCACCCACCCCCAGGCGGCGGCTAATTAACGACCCGTTAAACAACAGCGGAACCGGTCAGTCCGAGCTTCCAGAACCGAGTGCTGCTGCGTTCTGATCCATCCGGAACAGAAACACAATAAAAGAATTCATTAAAGGAAGTCTGAGTAACCATAGCAACAGACCCCCCCCCGGGTCACCAAAACCGACCTGATCAGACCAGGTTCTGCAGAAGTTCATTCCTCTGAAGGGACCGGGACCATGGAGACTTGGAGCAGCATTACTCCTCCCCCTCCGTGCCCCTGAGCAGCCCCCCCCCCCCCCCAAACAACAACAACATCTCCTCTGAGGAGGCGAGCGGCGCAGCAGGAGCCACCTGAGGCCTCAGGAGGAGCCCACAGCTGCTGCTCTGGTTCTGAGCCTCTAACCGGACCCAAGCAGGAAGCGTTTTTCTGACCCTGCGGTTCCACTCGGTACCGCCGGTCCGATGTTTACAGCAGAACAGATGAAGGTTCTGGTACTGATCCACTTTATGTAGGTTCATTTACCAGAACCATCGATGAGAACCGCCCAGAACCTGCTGATCAAACAGAAACGGGTCAGAACCCATGATCTGGATCAGGTTCTCCTGTGGGGGGGGGGGGAACCAACAGCAGAACCACAGGCAGTTGGACGGGCTTCAGCTGGTTCTGATGGGTTTGGACCACCAGCTGATAGAAACCATGGAAACGGGGGGGAGGAGGAGGGTGATGAGAGGGTTTAATGAGGAGGAGGGAGGAGGAGCTACAGGGAGCCGCCTGCCAGCAGATGTCCCCCCCCCCTCAGGTTCTGAGTCGATAACGAGCCGTCTAGAACCAGAGGGGGACCGGCGCTGGTCCGACCAGAACTCTGATCCGGTCCCAATCCACTGGGGGGCGAGGAGCCCGGTTCTGATGGTTGGATTCTATTACGTTTATATCTATGCTCCAATCCCCATCAGGTCAATTTCTAGATCCAGATCAACCAATCAGGTTAAAGGTTCCAAGTTTTCCATCTAAGCATGCAGCGGCGACAGTGGAGAGGAAAACCTCCAGCAGAACCAGTGTGAGGAACTGGACCTGCTGGTTCTGCAGAACCCTAATCCTGGTCTTCTTCCCTCCGCAGACTCCGTACCACGTCAACCTACTGCTGGCGGGCTTCGACGAGTCCGACGGGCCGGGCCTGTTCTACATGGACTACCTGGCGTCGCTGGCCAAGGCGCCGTTCGCCGCCCACGGATACGGCGCCTTCCTCACGCTGTCCATCCTGGACCGCTACTACAAACCAGGTGGGAGGAGGTTCTGTTGGACTCTAGGCAGAACTTTTAGAAACAGAACCAACATGATTCTGGTAACAAGTCAGAACTTTGGTGACCCGTTACTGAACAGCATGTTCTGGTTTATCTGGACCCGACCAGAACCAGAATCTCTGGTCTCCAGCTGAGCCTCCAGGAACCCAGAGAACCGGGTCAGAACCTAAGAAAATCAGGACTTATTAAACCAGAACCATCCTCCAACCGTGTGGCGCTTTAGAGTTCTGAAGGTCCGGTTCTGGCACAACTGGACTCTTTGAAGCTCAGAGATGTTAGAACCTCAACAGAACCCAGTAGAACCAGTACCACTCAGCTTACAGGGCGGTTCTGACCCCTGGTTCTGTTCTGTTCTAGATCTGACCCGGGAAGAGGCCGTGGACCTGCTGAAGAAGTGCATCGAGGAGGTAAGCCCTCCCGTCCGTGTTCTGGTGCCGGTTCTGGTTCCGTCTGACCCGGCAGAAGGTTCTGTAACCTCCGTCTTCTTCTCGTCCTGCAGCTGAACAGACGCTTCATCCTGAACCTGCCGTCCTTCAACGTCCGTCTGATCGACAAGGACGGGATCCACGACATGGAGAAGATCGCCCTCGGAACCAAGTGACCCGGCTCCTCCCCTCCAGAACCTCCCGCTCCAGTTTTTGTACCGACAACCTTTGTTCTGTTGCTGTTCTAATAAACCTTCCCAGGAAAGATGGCTCCTCTCTGTTTCTGGTTCTGATCGGGTTCTGGAGCCCATCAGAAATATGGACCTAGAACTGGATCCTGGTTCTGAATCCAGAATGAGGTCCAGTAGAAACTGGTGCTGCTGGAAAGTGATGGTGAACAGAACCGGGCCTGTTTGGGTTTAGTCCTCTTTCATCAGACGGGTTGAACAGAACCTTCAGGTCCAGTTTCTCCAGAACCAAGCAAAGGGGAAAGTGGGCGTGTCTCTGCACCCTGATTGGTCAGAAACCTGAAAGGAGATGGACAGGTGACCCATGATTGGCCGATCCAAAAGGTTCTGGATATATCAGCGGGTCAGAACCAAACATCCATCTGAAAGAGGGGAAAACCCGGAACTATAACTGGGTCAGGGGGAGTCCGACCCGCTGTGGCCCGGTTTAACTCTAAAGGCTGGTTCTGGAGGTCCGAACGGGTTAAACCAGGATCCTATAGAACCTTGGTTCTGCTTCCCTTCCAGAACTCTTGGCACGTTTATTTTGGTTCTGATCCGCGTGAAGCTGCGCCTCGGTTCTGATTAATAAACATTAAACACTGTGGAATCTGACGGGAAGAGCAGCAGATGTTTGCCTGCAGGCGCCGCGCGGCCCGCTGGGTGTCAGAAACGGGTGGGGGTGGGGCGGCAGGTGGAGGTGTGTGTGTTTGTTCCCAGGGAGGCGGCTTTGAAACAGTCTCTGCTTACAGGAGGTGTCGAGGAGCAGATGGCTGCAGGAGGAGGGAGGCGTTCAGGTGACGTCGGGCGCCTCTGCGGGGCCCTGAAGGTGAACAGCTCCGCAGCCGACGTGACACCCAAGTCTTTGGGGGCCCCGCTGCCGGGGCCCCACGTCTGTCACACTGGAGCTATGGTGCCGAGAAAAAGACAAAGAGCCGGAAAGATGCGATAAACGATCCGATGTGCTGAGCTGGTCCACAGTGGGACTCTGGTTCTGGTTCTGGTTCTGGAGAAGAACCGGTCCGGTCTGAGGGGCCGGACTGGATCTCCTCTGGATCAGGAGTCGGTTAATAGAAGATCTCTGAGATGCAGGCGTTCCTGTCATTTAGTGCCGCCATCATCTCAGAGGAGAACCTGGATCCTCCTGACCGTTCAGAACCCAACTGGACCCAATCAGAACCTTTAATCATCGGAGAGCAAAGGAGCATAAATGTTTATTTAAAGGAAAAGTCAGATAATCAGTGGATCGATATTTAGACCTAAAACTAACACGTTTGCAGTCATTTAATGAGTTTAACTTTTATCAGGAAAATAATTTTCGTGGCGATCACTGAGTCTGGGAGCGGCCATTTTAGCCCAAATATAGTAGCCCCTCTCTCCTGCCATCTTCCAGCAGTGACGTCACGGTGCGGTAAGCCTAGCGCCATTCTCCCCGCTTTCCAAGCTAAATCAATGGGAACTACTAGACACATCTGCAATCATTTCCAGAGGACTTCACCATGCGATGAGGTTCTGTAGGCCGCCTTAGATGGAGGAGACCCAGAGCTCCTCCAGGAGGAGCAGGAAGGAGGTCCTTCCTGGACCGGATGGGTTCATGGACCGATGGAGAATCTCAGTAGACGACTGAGAACCTTCGGTGTTAAACTACTTACAGGTTTAGCAATAAACACGTCTGAAGATTTAAACTGAGTCTTAGTTCTTTAATATATTACATTTATGCTGTAATACAGTAATAATAACAGTAATAACAATAAACATACACCCAAAGTACAAAATGATTCAGTTATCTGAAGTTACCATCACCTGAAAACCACATAAAAAAGCTCCTCTGAGAGGACTTCATTTCCCATGAGCCCCTGCTGCAGAGGAGGTCTCATTGCTGACCCAGACCCTCAGGGTTCTGGTGGTCCACAGAAACAGGAATAAATTAAATCCTCGTCACTCGGAGGTCAGAGGTCCATGTGTCATTGTGAGGTGTTCATCCTAAGCCCCGCCGCTCGGTGGGAGGAGCCTCAGTCTGACCCTCTCTTCATTTGCGGTGCTTCATCTCCTTCTCATGGTGGCTCTTCCCTCCTGTCTCCTTGTCCAGCAGCTTGATGGCCTCCATCAGGTAGCTCTGGAAGGCGGACAGCGCCGCGCAGATGGCCGGGGTTCCGAAGCCGTGGGTCAGCAGGCTGAAGTGGGTCAGGCTTCCTTGGATGGCGGGCTCCAGGCAGGGGGTGGGCCGGCTGCCGCCAAGCGGGGAGCGGTCCTGAGACATCAGGTCCATAAACTCCTTACAGATTTCCCTGGAGGATGAGAGGGGAGGAGTTAGGAAGATGATTCCATAACGTTCAGCAGTGATCAAACAGTCTGACCTCTGATGATGAGGTCATCTCAGCTACTGTTGGGGAAGGCGAGCTGCTATAGGCTGAGCCACCAGCCAATCAGAACTCTGGATGAGGAGTGTTTGTGGCTCCTACCTAACCCCCCCTGACCTGAGGGGAGGTCAAAGGTCGTCACTTGTATTTGAACAGTGATAACCTATAATTGATAACCTGAAGAACCAGGAAGTAAAGGTTCTGGAGGATGACGGGACCCGGATCTTCTGCTCCTCCTGAGATGTTGGAGGTCAGGAACCTTCCAGAACATTCAGGTCCTGCAGGAGTTTTAAATATCCAGATGATCCAGATCTTCCTCTGAGGTTCTGCAGCTCTGACTGTTTCTCCAGGCCCATCAGGTTCTGACAGGTCTGGAGATGTTCTCCTTCCTACCAGGTCATGTGACCTCTACTATTGTGGCCAATCAGAGTGGCTGATGAAGGCGGGACTCACTTGGTGGCCAGCAGCATGCTGCGTCTGGTGGGCAGCTGGTCCGGGTCGCTCTGCCTGCACAGGAACTCAGCCGTGGCTCTGGCTGGAAACTCTGTCTCACACACGTAACCAAAGTCCCGCGCCAGGTGGACCGCCTCACCTGGAGGAGGAGGAGGAGGAGGGGGAAAGGGAAAGGGAGGAGGAAAGGGAGGAGTTGAAGGGTTAGAACCCCCGCACTGGAGCAGCAGAAGTAATTTCATATTCGGTGTTGTTGAATTCAGGAGCAGCGTCCTTCATGGGAGCCGTTCTATGAAGGAGATCCGACTGGTTCTACAGAATTTACATCTAGATGCTGATCATTACACCTCTGATTGTTAAACATCTAACTTTATTATAAAGAGCTTAAAAGCAGCCGATGGCTGAACAGAGGAAAAGGAAAAGAGAAAAAAGGATTTGGAGAAAAAAAGTTTTAAATCAGGAGGAATCCCTCCATGATCACATTTAGTGAAACTAAAATCATCCGTATGTCCGTCTGTCCGTCCATCTTCTTGGGCGGGGGCGGGGAGGCAGCAGTCTAAGCAGAGATGCTCAGACTTCCCAAGCTACACACACCTGGTCCTTCCACCAGGCCTCCTCCCAATGGGAGGAACGCCTCCTGAGGGAGGTGAGCAGGAGCAGATGCCCCATCCTCCTCAGCCGGCTCCTTTCCACGTAGAGGAGCAACGACTCTACTCTGAGCTCCTCCTGGTAGCTGAGCTCCTCTCCCCATCTGGAATCGTGCTCCCAGCCACCCTGAGAAGGAAACTCATTTCGGCCGCTTGTATTCGCCATCTTGTCCTTCGGCTCGTTACCCAGGTCTAATGACCGTAGGGGGTGGGAACGTAGATCAATCGGTAAATCCAGAGCTTTGCCCCCAAGACTCAGCTCCCTCTGCACCATGACTGTCCGATACAGTAGCGCATCACCGCGGTCGATCTCACGCTCCATCCGTCCCTCACTCATGAACAAAACCCCGAGATATTTGAACTCCACTTGAGACGAGGACTCTCCTCCGACCTGAAGAGAGGAGAACCTTCCTCTGGCGGAGAACCACGGCCTCCACCTGATCCTCATACCGGCTGCAAACCGCCCCACTGCACGCCGAAGGTCCAGGTTTGATGAGGCCAACAGGACAACATCATCTGCAAACATCAGAGATGATATCCTGAGGTTTCCAAACCGTCACCCTCCGGTCCCTGGCTGCACCTAGAAATTCTGTCCATAGATGTAATAAACAGACCCGTTGACAAAGGGCAGCCCTGGAGGAGAACAACATGCACCAGGAACAGGTCTGACTTACTGCCGGCAATGTGAACCAAGCTCCTGCTGCGGTCATACAGAGAGCAGACAGCCTTAACAGAGGGCCCCGGACCCCGTACTCCCAGGGGACCACGAGGGACGAGTTTGAACGCCTTCACCAGATCCACAATACACATGTGGACTGGGTGGGCGAACGCCCATGAACGGTTGAGCACCCGATTAAGGGTGTAGAGCTGGTCCACCGCATTGTTCCCCCTGTATGCGAGGGTCGACTGTTGACCGGATCCTCCTCTCCACCTTAGCGGGGGGGCTGAGGAGTGGGATCCCTCTGTAATTGGTGCGCACCCTCCAGTCCCCCTTTTTAAAGAGACGGACCACCACCCAGGTCTGCCAATCCAGGGGGACTGTCCCCGATCGCCACACAATGCTGCAGAGAAGCATCAGCCTAGACAGTCCCAAACGTTCCGGGGCCTTCAGACCAGAACCGGACTCTGTTTGGATCATCTACAAACGGGTCAGCAGAGAATCCGGTTCTGGTCCACACGGTATGCTAACCATCGGCCCACAAACAAAGTTCCCCCTTTGGTGGCTCTGAAGAACCAGAACCAGATGTCCACCTGATTCCCACCTTAATGAAGCCATTTAATCATTTAATAAAAAACTTTCAGCCCTGATCTGATGAGGCCTTTGGGCTGTTTTCTCATTCAGGGGTTCCTACAGATTAGATTGGAACCTCCTTCACCACAGAGGTTCTACCAGAGTTTCTACCAGAGGTTCTACCAGAGGTTCTACCGGGTTTTAAACCCACATCTTCCAGGTTAAAGTCAGACACAATTTTAGTTTTTATCGGGGTTTTTTTGTTTTGTTTTTTTAGCAAAAAAAAGTAAAATTTACAATTTTGTCTCAGTTAGCATAAAAAGTTTTACAACCAGAGAGGGTTCGGGTCAGAACCAGAGAGGGTTCGGGTCAGAACCAGACAGCAGCAGCAGTTTGTATTCAGTCCTTATAAACTCCTGGTTTCTCCTGCAGGGAAAATGACTTCATGGTGGAAAAGTCTCCATTTTCCATTTTCATCCAAAATGCAGATTTTTCTGGAAACAGGATTATAGATCCTCCATTTAAAGATGCTGAGTCGTGGACTGGACCATTTTAGGACAGAATGATCTTCTGAAGGTGGATCTCTCAGCCTGCAGAACCTGCTGAGGTTTCTCTGAACTAGAACCAGACCTGAGTCTGTGTGGACCTACCCTCCACCAGTGATGTCAGCAGAGTCACGTTGGCGGCTTTGCGTCGCCCGGCAGGAAGGTTCAGCCCAATCTTCTCCAGACGTTCCCTCAGACAGCGACCGCCGTTCTTTGACTTCGCCCTGAGGAACACAAAGACAGACACACTGAGAACCTCAATCTGCGATCAATAGAACCTCAATCTGCGATCAATAGAACCTCAATCTGCGATCAATAGAACCTCAATCTGCGATCAATAGAACCTCAATCTGCGATCAATAGAACCTCAATCTGCGATCAATAGAACCTCAGTCTGCGATCAATAGAACCTCAATCTGCGATCAATAGAACCTCAGTCTGCGATCAATAGAACCTCAGTCTGCGATCAATAGAACCTCAGTCTGCGATCAATAGAACCTCAATCTGAGATCAATAGAACCTCAATCTGTGATCAATAGAACCTCAATCTGCGATCAATAGAACCTCAGTCTGCGATCAATAGAACCTCAGTCTGAGATCAATAGAACCTCAGTCTTAGATCAATAGAACCTCAGTCTGCGATCAATAGAACCTCAGTCTGAGATCAATAGAACCTCAATCTGCGATCAATAGAACCTCAGTCTGCGATCAATAGAACCTCAGTCTGCGATCAATAGAACCTCAGTCTGAGATCAATAGAACCTCAGTCTGAGATCAATAGAACCTCAGTCTTAGATCAATAGAACCTCAGTCTGCGATCAATAGAACCTCAGTCTGAGATCAATAGAACCTCAGTCTGAGATCAATAGAACCTCAGTCTGAGATCAATAGAACCTCAGTCTGCGATCAATAGAACCTCAGTCTGAGATCAATAGAACCTCAGTCTGCGATCAATAGAACCTCAGTCTGAGATCAATAGAACCTCAGTCTGCGATCAATAGAACCTCAGTCTGAGATCAATAGAACCTCAGTCTGCGATCAATAGAACCTCAGTCTGAGATCAATAGAACCTCAGTCTGCGATCAATAGAACCTCAGTCTGAGATCAATACAACCTCAATCTGCGATCAATAGAACCTCAATCTGAGATCAATAGAACCTCAGTCTGAGATCAATAGAACCTCAATCTGCGATCAATAGAACCTCAGTCTGCGATCAATAGAACCTCAATCTGCGATCAATAGAACCTCAGTCTGCGATCAATAGAACCTCAATCTGAGATCAATAGAACCTCAGTCTGCGATCAATAGAACCTCAATCTGCGATCAATAGAACCTCAATCTGAGATCAATAGAACCTCAGTCTGCGATCAATAGAACCTCAATCTGCGATCAATAGAACCTCAATCTGCGATCAATAGAACCTCAATCTGAGATCAATAGAACCTCAGTCTGTGATCAATAGAACCTCAATCTGCGATCAATAGAACCTCAGTCTGCGATCAATAGAACCTGAGTCTGCGATCAATAGAACCTCAATCTGGGATCAATAGAACCTTAGTCTGCGATCAATAGAACCTCAGTCTGAGATCAATAGAACCTCAGTCTGCGATCAATAGAACCTCAGTCTTAGATCAATAGAACCTCAGTCTGCGATCAATAGAACCTCAGTCTGAGATCAATAGAACCTCAGTCTGAGATCAATAGAACCTCAGTCTGCGATCAATAGAACCTCAATCTGGGATCAATAGAACCTCAGTCTGCGATCAATATAACCTCAGTCTGCGATCAATAGAACCTCAGTCTTAGATCAATAGAACCTCAGTCTGCGATCAATAGAACCTCAGTCTGAGACCAATACAACCTCAATCTGGGATCAATAGAACCTCAGTCTGAGATCAATACAACCTCAGTCTGAGATCAATAGAACCTCAATCTGCGATCAATAGAACCTCAGTCTGCGATCAATAGAACCTCAGTCTGTGATCAATAGAACCTCAATCTGGGATCAATAGAACCTCAGTCTGTGATCAATAGAACCTCAATCTGCGATCAATAGAACCTCAGTCTGCGATCAATAGAACCTCAATCTGAGATCAATAGAACCTCAATCTGAGATCAATAGAACCTCAATCTGCGATCAATAGAACCTCAATCTGAGATCAATAGAACCTCAATCTGAGATCAATAGAACCTCAGTCTGCGATCAATAGAACCTCAGTCTGCGATCAATAGAACCTCAGTCTGCGATCAATAGAACCTCAGTCTGCGATCAATAGAACCTCAATCTGAGATCAATAGAACCTCAATCTGAGATCAATAGAACCTCAGTCTGCGATCAATAGAACCTCAATCTGCGATCAATAGAACCTCAATCTGAGATCAATAGAACCTCAATCTGCGATCAATAGAACCTCAATCTGAGATCAATAGAACCTCAATCTGAGATCAATAGAACCTCAGTCTGCGATCAATAGAACCTCAGTCTGTTCCTTTGGTTTCAGAACGTTCTTCTTCCTGTTAGTCCAACACACCTGGTTGCAGGTCGGCTTTCACCACCTGCTCCTTGGTGACGTCAGTATCAGTCGGTACCAGTGGTACCGACTGATACTGACTGGTACCAGCTGAGCCCGTTGTCTCCCTGCTCAGGCCCGTAATGGACCAGAACCGCTGCTCCTCAGAACAGCTGCATCTAGAAGCTTCAGGTCGGTCAACCAGGTTCTGCTCAAATTATGGAGCTCCATTTGGGCCATGAAGTTTGGTCAAAAGCTTTTTTAATTGCAATAAAAATTTTCACCGCTTTTGCATTTCAAGTTTTTTATAGTTTCTTTTTTTAATGCTTGGAACAAACTTGGTCTCAATGCAAGGTTCCTAGAACCTGGGACTCAGCCACTCCAGGACCTGGAAGCATCCAAACAGTTTTAAAGACTCTGAGCAGGACTTCCACGTTGTTCTATTTATTTTCCTCTTTAACTCCGCCCACTCTTCTTTGATCCTCTATTTTATTTTAATCAGGATGCTGGTGAAGATTCTTAGTCGTCCCAAAAACGTTAAAAAGGTTAAATTCAGTAAAGGTTTTATTCAAGCTGCTTATAGTTTGTTTATAGCTGCTTTTGTGCAGAACTTTTTCTTTTTTTCAATCTCTTTTAAAACTAAAATAAAAGCAGATATATGTTTTAAATTTTGAGCAGATTTCTGTGGAATCTGATGGTTTCTGCTGCGCCGTAGAGCAGAGAGCTTTTTAGCGCGTCTCATCTCTAATTAGGTCCTCTGGACGCGCTGGGGTCTTGAACCGGAGTCATAAAGTGGCTCTGCTGTCCTGAGGCTCTGCTTCATTAAACCTCTTCTTCTTCTCTTGTGATTCAGTCCCATGACCCAGATCTGCGCTCGGTCGGAGCCTGCAGACACGTTCACCAGATCCTCATGGAGGAGTCATGTGATGTGAAACTCTAATTAAAACGAAGCTCAAACTGAAGATTTATGACAGATAATAAACAGATGGAGCTTCTTAAAGCACCACAGACGGTTCTGAAGAACATCTTGATCCAGAAAACGGGCCGCAGGTTCCTCTGGACCAGAACCTCTCGGCGGTTCTGAATTCAGCTCCCGCCTCCTCAGGCTGATGGCTTCGGTTCATGGAAGCTGGTTTCACTTCAGTTAGTCAAAACTCTAACTTCCTGTTTCTAGCAACATAAGCCCCGCCCTCTGCTCACCTGCGTAGGACTCCGCCCAGCAACGATGCGTTGAGGCACTCGGGTGGAGACAGGCGGCGCTGCACCTCCCCCACAGTCACCTTGTACTTGGAGGTGGAGCTGAGCAGAGACAGGCGGCCCGGCACCGAGCAGAACACCTCCGCCGGGTTGGACACGGCTCCCACGCTCACGCCCTCCTTCCCTATGGAGAGCGCCGACAGGGCGGTTCCGTTCAGCTTGGAGGGGATGGGAACTGAGGGAGGGAGAGGTAGAAGTAGAGTGAGTAGATGTTACTGCTGCTGGGGAATCTATGCAGAGCCGTGTTTTCTCTGGAGTCCGCCGCCATCTTTAGCACGCCTCCGTTTGTTCTGCTTTCAGCTCAACTTCTTCTAAACAACAATCTGAAATCAGCTGACGGCGGATTGGATCCCACCATGACCCAGGCCCACACCATCACCACTCCACCACCATACCTGAGGCCTAAAGCTGACGACCTGATGTCCTCCGTCCAGAGGACATTGTCCCAGATGTCTAGACCTGTCCTGCAGGCAAACCGGGTCATGGCTCTGACCTTTGACCTGGGGAGGCTGAGGAAGATCTCCTACTTGATCAAATCAGGTGGAGGCGGTGAGGCTGAACTTCCTGCCTGGAAGCAGTTTTGGGTTTTGAAGAGTTTCTATGAGGTTTGAACAGAAAATCCTTTTTCTGACGGAATCAGTTTAACGTCCTGAAGATCAGAACGTTTCAGATCTTCTTCCTCAGCTGATCTTTGGCTTCAGATTTACGGTTCTTTGGAATCGATCCGGTTCAGGTCTGATCCGACGCATTCAAGGTGGACCTTGATTCAGAACCCAAACCCGACGGGGACCACTCCACCATCTCCAGGCCAGAACCGGCCCCCCCCACCTCAGGCAGCAGCTTAGATTTTCTAATGGGGTCTCAGTGTCGCTGACGGTGATATTAGACACATCAGCCTCTGCAAATGTATCCTCAGCTCCTCTTTTATCACATTCCAGGCGCTTCTCTTCCTGCTCCACACACATCCCCCCCCCACACACACACACACACACTCCCTCATATGACCATGAACAGTTCATTAAGAATCTGTGCCTTTGGGCTGAAGTCTGCAGCTCAGTATTAGAGGACTTCTTGACTTCAAATGAAAAAGCAAAACAGAATTATTTATAGTGCGCGTGCATATGCGCGCGTGCACATGTGTGAGTGAAGAAAGAAGGAAGCCCCCCCCCAGCATGTTGAACACATTTATAAAGGCGAACACGCACACCAAGGACCATGCGCGCACACATGGCTGTCCTGTGCTCACCTCGTGCACGCGCGCGCACGCCTCCTCTTACCTTTTTTAATGACGGAGTGGTCCAGGATGCCCAGGGCGGATCCTTCCTCCATCCCCTGCATCACACACACCAACACACACACACACACACGGTCAGTATCATTTATCCGCGCGCTCGGTCCAACGCTGGACCGCGGGAAAAAATTCTAAACATCCTGAATTTTGGGGGTTTTTGGATCAAAAACAAAAAGTTAAATATAATAATAATAATAATAATAATAATAATAATTCGTATTTTATTTTTATTTTATAAAATAATTCTTTAAAATATGTTTTCTGGTTTTAATCTAAATAAAACTTCTTATCTGATTTAATTCGTGTTTTCTGAAGATAAAGGCTCTCTGAGGAGGAGTCGCTGACTTTAACCTCCATTAATCAAATAAAGCTGCTTGTCAACACGCGGCGCTGAACACAAAATCGCTCCGTGGATCAGCGTGGGCATCGATTCGTCTCGCCGTGTTTTCTTGTGCGGCTGCACCTGCTGCACGGAGGCCGACTGCGCCAAAAACAAAAAGCGCACAAACTCTTCTTCAGCTGCGGCGCGCGGTGCGCGGCGGGACGCGCGCAGCTGCTCCTCTTAAATAAAATCAGTTGTTTTATTTAACAAACATTGATTTCATCAAAAACGCTCAGCAACATTTTTAGAAAGGTTTCTGGAATCAGAAATTATAAAACAACAATTTAAAGACGATGTAGAACATTTTACATTTAAATGTTATTTATGTAAAATAATAAATACAAAATTTCAGAATATTAATCTAAACATCACTAAATTAAATTCCTTGTAAATATCGTTTTTTATTCTCATCCGGGGTTCTTTTTGATTTTAGATTATTTTGCTTTAAATCTCGGAAAGGCCTGATTTTTTTTCCAGAGGGCCCAAGTTTTTTTGTTTTAAATCAAATGATTAACTGTATTTCTAATTAAATATAATCTCGATTAAAACAATAAGCATTAAAAGCTCAGAATTAAAATATGAATATTAACAAATTGTTTAAATATTGGATGTTTATTTTCCTTTGGATCTTTTTTAAAAGGGAGGAGAAAATCGCCTCGGGCCTTTAGTGGAAAATCCAGATGTCTGTATATTTCATATTTTAGAAAAAATAAAGAGAATATAATCTAAAATACTAGTTCATAATTTTCAGTAAAATGATTCTTGAACCAATAAATGAATTTAATGATTTTAATGCAGAGATTCTCTGAAGGAGAAACGAAAAGAACAAATGTTGATTCACCTGCAGGTCTTCGAGGCCATGGTGTCCCAGGTGCATCCCCAGAGGTCCGTCCCCCAGAGCCGCGGCCCCCTCCCCGAGGCCGTGCAGGAGCCGCGGCACGGCGGGGTAATCCCTGCGGGGGTCGAGGCTCAGAGCCCGGTGAGACTGTGACAGCAGGCCGCCTTCCTCCGAGCGGGAGCGCTGGGAATGCCATGCAGCCTGCTGGTGCTGATGGATGGAGTTGATGGAGGGGTAAGGGTCCGACAGGTGGGAGTAGGCCGATTCCTGGCTCTGGGAGTACGGCAGGGAGGACTGCGGGTAGGGGGGAGGGAAGTACGGAGGCTGGAAATCGGAGGCCGGCGTGTGGCAGAGCGGGGGAGCCGAAGAGTAGGCGGCCTGGTTGAGGGAGGAGAGCTGGGAGAGGCGGCCGCTCGGAGAGGAGCCGCTGAGTCCGTCTGCGCGCTCCTGAAACAGAACCCAAACAGGGACCATCAGAACCAGGAGACCATCAGAACCAGGAGAACCTATAAGAACCAGGAGAGGATCAGAACCAGGAGAGGATCAGAACCAGGAGAGGATCAGAACCAGGAAAGGATCAGAACCAGGAGAGGATCAGAACCAGGAGAGGATCAGAACCAGGAGAGGATCAGAACCAGGAGAGGATCAGAACCAGGAGACCCTCAGAACCAGGAGAGGATCAGAACCAGGAAAGGATCAGAACCAGGAGAGGATCAGAACCAGGAAAGGATCAGAACCAGGAAAGGATCAGAACCAGGAGACCCTCAGAACCAGGAGAGGATCAAAGCTAAACTGGAGCAGGTTCCTGTTATCGTTGCGACTTTATAAATTTAATGCAGTAAATTAAAATTGTTGAACTTTTAAATGATGTTTAATATTAAGCATAAAAATAAAAACAGCGAGTTTAGAAAAGAATATCTGGATAATCATGTAACTGTTGGAGGTGACCCCCCATCTGGGTCAGTCTGATCGATGCTGCAGCGGCTCCATTATCTGTCAGCCGAACAAGGAAAGTCGGTCAGAGGCCGATGGCTGTCCACTGCGGGGGGGCTGTGGGTGGGGGTGGGGGGGCAGCTGAGTGGAAGCGCTGAGACTCGCGTGGACAGGGAGCAGACAGGTGCGGCCCCACAGCGAACTGGTTCCGTCTGTAGTTTCATGACATCAAACTAATAAAAGTCCCAGAAAGCAGAGAGCAAGCTGCAGCCCCCCCACTCCCACTCCCACTCACCATGGCTGAATATGAGTGGATCAACATCTGGACCGACTCGCTGGTTCCGGTGACGCACAGGTGTGTCCAGGTGTCCTCAGTGCTCCATCAAATGAAGATTGTCAGCTGCTGCTTGCCGTACACCTGTCCGTCCGTCCGAGCTGCAGAGCAAGGCTGCTGCCGCTGACGTACACGCGCATGACACTCGCGGACTCGTGCATCCTCTCCATGAGCGCGCTACTTATAGGAGGTGCGCGCTCCCGGTGGAGAGAGGGGAGGGGTCGGCAGGGTCCAAATGTCTTAAAGAGACACTTTCCTCTTTGCTTCTGTTCGGTTCATTGATTCGGAAACTATTTGGAGGATTTGACCCAAAAATAAAAGAAAGACTTTTTTTTTCCTAGTTTGGACCTGAAAGTATCGGAACCAGAACCAGCAAAGAATCTCTGGGAACCCAAACTAACGGAACTTCTCTCTGATTGGCCCAAACCGACCCCAGCAGACCCGGTCCGACGGCGGGGAGTTACCTGAGCGGCCTCGGCTTTGGTCCGGGACTTCCACAGCATCCTCCGGTCCGGTTCGGTTCGGTTCGGTCCAGGTGTCTGACTGCAGCTCAGGGGTTAAAGTGAGGATGAGGAGGAGACGCGCTGAAGGTGCAGAGAGGAGTGAGTTATGAGGAGAAGCGCTGCAGGAGTTAGAGAGGGTGAGAGGAGGAGGAGGAGGGGGGGAGGAGGGGGGGAGGAGGGGGAGGGAGGAGGAGGAGGAGGGGGGGAGGAGGGGGGAGGGGGGGGAGGAGGAGGGGGGGGGGGGGGGGGGGGGCTCACCGCGTCTGAAAGCTCAGAGAATAAAGCTGTTGATTGGATCATCAGGCTGGTCCAGTTATCCTGCCATCAGGAACTCTGGGATGGATCCTGGAAGTTCTGGTTCTGCAGCTTCTGACCCATCATCATCATCACCATCATCATCATCATCACCATCATCATCATACCGAGCCCTGGACCCTGGAGGAGCTGGACCGGGCATCTCCTGAACTAAAGCCTGAACACTGGTTCTGAGTAGAACCACAGGTTCTGCTCAGCAGAACCAGAAACAGAACCAGGAACATAACCAGGAGGAACAGAACCAGGATCAAAACCAGAAACAGAACCAGGACCAGAAACATAACCAGGAGGAACAGAACCAGGACCAGAACCAGGAACAGAACCAGGACCAGAACCGGGACCAGAACCAGGAACATAACCGGGAGGAAACCTGATGAGCAGAACCGGTTCTGTTCTAAATGAGTTCATTTAAAACAGAATTTCTGAGTTTTTGCTGGAATCCTGTTTGATTAAATTCATTTTTTGTAAAGTAACTTTTAAACTCAGTTTAATCTGATCCATTTATTTATTTATTGTTTATTTAAAAGGGGACAGTTTACATTAATCAACATTAAAACAATGTAAATATACCTGAGTTAGCTAAGGAGTGTTATTCTCATCGTATAAAAAAAGGCAACCTTAAAAATAAACACAAGGAAGAAGAATCCATAAATCACCACGATTATCATAGAGTGAATTTCTGTGGTTTTCTACATTGAAGTTTATCTGGAAGTTTCTAAATCCCAAACATTGAGGAGGATCTCTGCTTCCTGCTGCGAGGAGGAAGCTCCGCTCATCTGGACCCAGGTTCTGGTTCTGGTTCTGGTTCTGTGCACCAGGACTCACAGCCGACCAGGATCTGATGGCAGAGCAGAGCGGCGCCCCCTGCTGGCTGTGATTTAATGTTTAGTTTCCAACAATCTGTCAATAAATTAAAGATGAATGAAAATATTTCTAATTTAAATTAGAGATAATTAACTAAAGAGAAATTAATGAGTGAAGATGAACAGAACCAGAGTGTTAGGTCCAAACCCACCTGGCGGTTCTGGTTCTGTTTAATGGATGACGTCACAGGTCAAAGGTCAGAGGGTTTTCCTTGCTTTATTTATTTTTTTATTATAAACCATCATAAAAACGGTTTCTGGATCAGATTTATATAAACCTGAAAAACCTGGAGAAGCCGATCCAGGCTGCTTGAATATTTACAGGACAACAAAATAAATAAAAAACAAAAAACAAAACAAAATATATACAAGCACACATTAGGGGCGTCTCATCAGCTCCAGATTGTTCATCAGATTAAATTATTCTGCATTTTGTTCATGAAGTTTAGAGATAAGAAGAGTTTAATGTGAAAAATGGAAAAAGATGGTTTGACTTTAAGAAATGAAAAACTCGCCCATGATGATTATTATATTTAGTTTTTCAAATTTCCTTTCTTTTCTCAGAGTCCCAAAAATAAAATCTTTCTTAGAGAATTCAGGTAAGTTTTTAATTCTGGGTAGAAGTCAGTCGTTGCTCATCATCCCATAAAGCTTTGCAATAGAAAACAATCAGTCGATTCAAAATCACAAAATGATCAAATCTGATCATCGATGGCAGAAATCCCTTAAAGGGTTAAACACCTCTAAAGATTTTAAAGTGGACTTCATTGGGTTTAGGAGGAATGGGAAGATTTAAACAATTTGTTCTAATTTTAACTCTTTCAGAGTTGGAGAAAAAATGCGATATAAAATTTGGGGTTGAAACATAATACCAGTAAAGCGTTCCCGAATTCTTGATTATTTTATTTTACTATCTGTGATAGTTTGCCCATTGATCAGACGTCCAGGCAGAGCAGAGCTTCTGTCATCAGGATTCTCATTAAAACCTGCAGCTCTGCATCAAATATTTGGGGAAATAACTCTAATAAATGTCTGAAATTGACTTTTCTGCAAATTATATTTAATTGTGAAGTCTTCATAAGATATAATTCCTCTATTATTGAACAAATGCATCACAGACCAAACACCTTGTTCTAGTCAATAGGCTACCTGCAAAGATTGATTTATTCACTTTAATGTTTCAGCAATTCCACAAAGGAGTTTTATCTGAGCTGTTCTGTTTATAGATTCATCTCCAATATAATAAACCTGCTGGTAAATGAAGGAAAGTTTAACGGGTTTTTTTTTTATATCTAAGAAAAAAACTAATTCTGCAGGTTAGAAAATATTTGACTTGGAATTCTGGAACCATAATTGATTTAGTTTTATTAAAAAAGACAGAAGCCGATTAATGTTCAAAGAGCCGCTCATGAACAGCTGCTGATCCTCCATCTTCAAATAGTTTCATTAAACCTTTTTTCATTTAGTGAGTTTTCCTTGCTTTGGTTCGGAGCAGCAGGAGCGGTTCCGGTTCTGCTGCTTCTGACCCGCTTTCAGCTCTGGGCGCTGACAGGATGTAGTGGCGCCATCTTGGGCCGGTCAGCAGCTCCGCTCAATGTAACGTGTTGAGCAGGAACAGGATCAACTTCAGATGCACAGTAATTTATTTTTTATATTTTTTATTAATTTTCTTTCGGAGTAAAAAGCGGCTTGTCTCTGCCACGTTTTTATCGTTCTTAGATTCTGGTGACCTTCTTCTTCCTGTCTTCTAATGTTGGACTCTGTTTCCCATGCTTCATTAAGGTTCATCACAGACTGTAGAGCGATGACATCACTGGTACCTGTCCTCTCAGGTGGGATGGCCTCTCTACCAGAAGGCTGTGTCATTGCTTTTATTTCCGAGGCCCTCCATGGATTACTGCCCTCTAACGTTTCTACCTTCCTTCCCCAGTAAAGCGCGGCTTCTTCTGCCTGAGATCCACCATCAGCTGCTGCTCTCTGCTGCTTTTGCCCGAACAGAACTGGGGGAGGAAACCTTTAGCTACGCTGCTCCTTGTGCATGGAATTTTTTTTACAAACAAACTGGAAGTTAGGGTTTTTATCTTTAAAAGCTTGAAAGTGAGAGAATTTGAAGCAGCCTCAATGATCTGCTGTTTTACTGGCTGATTTTTATGTACCTGTCATTTAATTTAATTAGGGATGCACGATATAATGGGCCCCCTATCGGTATCGGCCTTAAAACTGAATATCGGACATCGGCCACCCCATCGATATTTAACCCGATATTTGATCAGCTTCTGAGTTTCTTAAGTCTAAAAAATTATACTTCTTCTTCTTCCTCAAAACTTCTTTTTTACAGACTTAAAAACTTCTAAAGACGAGGGAAAAAATATTGATCCATTAAAATATCCCAATATCTTCATATGCTGATATATTGCCATTTAAAAACACCATATCAATCTCTTTTACTAATATTGCTATATGTCATCGTTATGCTACGAAATCCCCCGAAAATTCACCAAATGTTGCCATATTTTTATATGTTGATATATTGACGCGGTATCGATCTATTTTACTAACAAAATCTCACAAGAATTTGCAAAATATCACGAGAGTTTGTAACAGAACGATGAAATTTCACCAGATTTTGAAAGTAAAATAGATCGATACCGCGTTTTTAAAAATCTATTTGATATCAGCATATGAAAATATATTTGAGTATATTATTTTTCAAAGTGTCAGAAATGGATAACAAAACTGCTATTTTCAATGACTACTTATTTTTGTCCAGCTTTAACATTGGTATCGATATCGGTTATCGGCTACACGAGTTTTAAAATATCGGCATTTTGGATATCGGCCAAAATCCCAATATCGTGCATCCCTACATTTAATGTATCTCTGAAAACTCTGAAAAAGAGGTTTTTAATCTCTTTTTCCTGGTTAAATAAAAAAAAAAATAAAATTTATATTTTATGTGAATTTTTTTTTACCCATGTTTTAGCAGAGTTTTAGGTGTTTTTTTTTATTATTTCTCTTTACAGCTCTACAATTTCTAACTGTCACTTATTCTATTATTTGTATGCACTTTTTAAAGGTCCACCATTGTGTGACCACTAGCTGCTGTAACGGCAGAGTTTCTTTTCTATGTAGTCTATATCTGCTGTTTATTCAGTAACGTCTTCAAAGCTCTGATGCCTTCAGGAAGTTCTCCCTCCAATCATGACGTCATCAGTCTGTAGATCTAAACTAAAAGATGCTGCAGTGCTGAGGCATCCTTCTGTTCTGCTTAAAGCTGCAGGTTAGGGGAGCAGGTCGACCTCCCCAAGATGGCGTCCGTAATTCCTACGCTGCGACAGTCAGTGCGGGGTCTACTGCTATATGATGTCTGTGGTCAGACTGGCTGATAATCCAGCCCTGCCTGGGTAGGTCTCAGAGCGCCCCCTGGTGGATCAGGAGTGTCTCTTGCTGATAAAGATGGAAACCATCAGCATCTGTAGTAAAATAATCTTTATTCATCATTTGACAGAGAACATCTCGCCTCCCGATCTTCAAACTCCCACCATCTTCCTCAGACTCTTCATCCTCAGAGCTCCTCCCCCTCCACTCCTCATCATTTCCCTGATCTCCTGCCGACAGTCCTGGCAGCGCTCCGCCACGGCACACAGAACCTCCTCCAGAACTTCCTCGGTCTGAGGGTCAGGTGAGGCGCCGCCCCCCGTCAGCACGCCGTGCTTCAGCCAGCCTTCATCTCGGATCAGAGCGACGATCCACGGCTGAGTCCGGACGCAGCCTCCCAGGGCCTGCAGGGACAGACGCCACAGCTCCGCCGCCTCCTTCCAGCCGTCGCTCACTGGACCGGAACCCGAGGAGGAGCGCAGGGCGCCCTGGAGGAGCCGCAGAGCTGCAGAGAAGAACCGTCTCTGGGCGGCTTCAGCCGGACCTGGAGGAGAGGAGCCACGGTGAACGGGACGCACAGAATCCAAATCAGCAGGAGGTTCTGAAGCAGCCCTGGACCTTCAGAGACGGGATCGCCTGATCCGTCGGCTCTAGAACCGCCAGGACCTTCGCTTTGTTCTACCTCCACTATGTTCTACCTCCACTATGTTCTACCTCCACTATGTTCTACCTCCACTATGTTCTACCTCCACTATGTTCTACCTCCACTTTCAGGACCATCGCTCTGATCGACTCCTTCTACTCCAATAAAACGGATCAAATGTGGATCAGGATGATCATCAGCTGCTTCTGCTGGATTAAAGGAGGAACAGGAGCTTCTGGATTCAACCATTAAAGGAGGAACAGGAGCTCCTGGATTCAACCATTAAAGGAGGAACAGGAGCTCCTGGATTCAACCACTGAAGGAGGAACAGGAGCTCCTGGATTCAACCACTGAAGGAGGAACAGGAGCTCCTGGATTCAACCAATAAAGGAGGAACAGGAGCTTCTGGATTCAACCATTAAAGGAGGAACAGGAGCTCCTGGATTCAACCACTAAAGGAGGAACAGGAGCTCCTGGATTCAACCACTGAAGGAGGAACAGGAGCTCCTGGATTCAACCACTGAAGGAGGAACAGGAGCTCCTGGATTCAACCACTAAAGGAGGAACAGGAGCTTCTGGATTCAACCATTAAAGGAGGAACAGGAGCTCCTGGATTCAACCACTGAAGGAGGAACAGGAGCTCCTGGATTCAACCACTGAAGGAGGAACAGGAGCTCCTGGATTCAACCAATAAAGGAGGAACAGGAGCTCCTGGATTCAACCACTAAAGGAGGAACAGGAGCTCCTGGATTCAACCAATAAAGGAGGAACAGGAGCTCCTGGATTCAACCACTAAAGGAGGAACAGGAGCTCCTGGATTCAACCACTAAAGGAGGAACAGGAGCTCCTGGATTCAACCACTAAAGGAGGAACAGGAGCTCCTGGATTCAACCAATAAAGGAGGAACAGGAGCTCCTGGATTCAACCACTAAAGGAGGAACAGGAGCTTCTGGATTCAACCACTAAAGGAGGAACAGGAGCTTCTGGATTCAACCACTAAAGGAGGAACAGGAGCTCCTGGATTCAACCACTAAAGGAGGAACAGGAGCTCCTGGATTCAACCACTAAAGGAGGAACAGGAGCTCCTGGATTCAACCAATAAAGGAGGAACAGGAGCTCCTGGATTCAACCACTAAAGGAGGAACAGGAGCTCCTGGATTCAACCACTAAAGGAGGAACAGGAGCTCCTGGATTCAACCACTAAAGGAGGAACAGGAGCTCCTGGATTCAACCATTAAAGGAGGAACAGGAGCTCCTGGATTCAACCATTAAAGGAGGAACAGGAGCTCCTGGATTCAACCATTAAAGGAGGAACAGGAGCTCCTGGATTCAACCACTAAAGGAGGAACAGGAGCTTCTGGATTCAACCACTAAAGGAGGAACAGGAGCTTCTGGATTCAACCACTAAAGGAGGAACAGGAGCTTCTGGATTCAACCACTAAAGGAGGAACAGGAGCTTCTGGATTCAACCACTAAAGGAGGAACAGGAGCTCCTGGATTCAACCACTAAAGGAGGAACAGGAGCTCCTGGATTCAACCACTAAAGGAGGAACAGGAGCTCCTGGATTCAACCAATAAAGGAGGAACAGGAGCTTCTGGATTCAACCATTAAAGGAGGAACAGGAGCTCCTGGATTCAACCACTAAAGGAGGAACAGGAGCTCCTGGATTCAACCACTAAAGGAGGAACAGGAGCTCTGGATTCAACCACTAAAGGAGGAACAGGAGCTTCTGGATTCAACCACTAAAGGAGGAACAGGAGCTTCTGGATTCAACCACTAAAGGAGGAACAGGAGCTCTGGATTCAACCACTAAAGGAGGAACAGGAGCTCTGGATTCAACCACTAAAGGAGGAACAGGAGCTCCTGGATTCAACCACTAAAGGAGGAACAGGAGCTTCTGGATTCAACCACTAAAGGAGGAACAGGAGCTCCTGGATTCAACCACTAAAGGAGGAACAGGAGCTTCTGGATTCAACCACTAAAGGAGGAACAGGAGCTTCTGGATTCAACCAATAAAGGAGGAACAGGAGCTCTGGATTCAACCACTAAAGGAGGAACAGGAGCTTCCTGGATTCAACCACTAAAGGAGGAACAGGAGCTCCTGGATTCAACCAATAAAGGAGGAACAGGAGCTCCTGGATTCAACCACTAAAGGAGGAACAGGAGCTCCTGGATTCAACCACTAAAGGAGGAACAGGAGCTCCTGGATTCAACCACTAAAGGAGGAACAGGAGCTCCTGGATTCAACCAATAAAGGAGGAACAGGAGCTTCCTGGATTCAACCACTAAAGGAGGAACAGGAGCTTCTGGATTCAACCACTAAAGGAGGAACAGGAGCTCCTGGATTCAACCACTAAAGGAGGAACAGGAGCTCCTGGATTCAACCACTAAAGGAGGAACAGGAGCTCCTGGATTCAACCACTAAAGGAGGAACAGGAGCTCCTGGATTCAACCAATAAAGGAGGAACAGGAGCTTCTGGATTCAACCACTAAAGGAGGAACAGGAGCTCTGGATTCAACCACTAAAGGAGGAACAGGAGCTCCTGGATTCAACCACTAAAGGAGGAACAGGAGCTCCTGGATTCAACCACTAAAGGAGGAACAGGAGCTCCTGGATTCAACCAATAAAGGAGGAACAGGAGCTCCTGGATTCAACCACTAAAGGAGGAACAGGAGCTCCTGGATTCAACCACTAAAGGAGGAACAGGAGCTCCTGGATTCAACCAATAAAGGAGGAACAGGAGCTTCTGGATTCAACCACTAAAGGAGGAACAGGAGCTTCTGGATTCAACCACTAAAGGAGGAACAGGAGCTCCTGGATTCAACCACTAAAGGAGGAACAGGAGCTCTGGATTCAACCACTAAAGGAGGAACAGGAGCTCCTGGATTCAACCACTAAAGGAGGAACAGGAGCTTCTGGATTCAACCACTAAAGGAGGAACAGGAGCTCCTGGATTCAACCACTAAAGGAGGAACAGGAGCTCCTGGATTCAACCACTAAAGGAGGAACAGGAGCTCCTGGATTCAACCACTAAAGGAGGAACAGGAGCTCCTGGATTCAACCACTAAAGGAGGAACAGGAGCTCCTGGATTCAACCACTAAAGGAGGAACAGGAGCTCCTGGATTCAACCACTAAAGGAGGAACAGGAGCTCCTGGATTCAACCACTAAAGGAGGAACAGGAGCTCTGGATTCAACCACTAAAGGAGGAACAGGAGCTCCTGGATTCAACCAATAAAGGAGGAACAGGAGCTCTGGATTCAACCACTAAAGGAGGAACAGGAGCTTCTGGATTCAACCACTAAAGGAGGAACAGGAGCTCCTGGATTCAACCACTAAAGGAGGAACAGGAGCTCCTGGATTCAACCACTAAAGGAGGAACAGGAGCTCCTGGATTCAACCACTAAAGGAGGAACAGGAGCTCCTGGATTCAACCACTAAAGGAGGAACAGGAGCTCCTGGATTCAACCACTAAAGGAGGAACAGGAGCTCCTGGATTCAACCAATAAAGGAGGAACAGGAGCTCCTGGATTCAACCACTAAAGGAGGAACAGGAGCTCCTGGATTCAACCACTAAAGGAGGAACAGGAGCTCCTGGATTCAACCACTAAAGGAGGAACAGGAGCTCCTGGATTCAACCAATAAAGGAGGAACAGGAGCTCCTGGATTCAACCACTAAAGGAGGAACAGGAGCTCCTGGATTCAACCACTAAAGGAGGAACAGGAGCTCCTGGATTCAACCACTAAAGGAGGAACAGGAGCTCCTGGATTCAACCAATAAAGGAGGAACAGGAGCTCCTGGATTCAACCACTAAAGGAGGAACAGGAGCTCCTGGATTCAACCACTAAAGGAGGAACAGGAGCTCCTGGATTCAACCAATAAAGGAGGAACAGGAGCTCCTGGATTCAACCACTAAAGGAGGAACAGGAGCTTCTGGATTCAACCACTAAAGGAGGAACAGGAGCTCCTGGATTCAACCACTAAAGGAGGAACAGGAGCTCCTGGATTCAACCAATAAAGGAGGAACAGGAGCTTCTGGATTCAACCACTAAAGGAGGAACAGGAGCTCTGGATTCAACCACTAAAGGAGGAACAGGAGCTCCTGGATTCAACCACTAAAGGAGGAACAGGAGCTTCTGGATTCAACCACTAAAGGAGGAACAGGAGCTCTGGATTCAACCACTAAAGGAGGAACAGGAGCTCCTGGATTCAACCACTAAAGGAGGAACAGGAGCTTCTGGATTCAACCAATAAAGGAGGAACAGGAGCTTCTGGATTCAACCACTAAAGGAGGAACAGGAGCTTCTGGATTCAACCACTAAAGGAGGAACAGGAGCTCCTGGATTCAACCACTAAAGGAGGAACAGGAGCTCCTGGATTCAACCATTAAAGGAGGAACAGGAGCTCCTGGATTCAACCACTAAAGGAGGAACAGGAGCTTCTGGATTCAACCACTAAAGGAGGAACAGGAGCTTCTGGATTCAACCACTAAAGGAGGAACAGGAGCTCCTGGATTCAACCATTAAAGGAGGAACAGGAGCTTCTGGATTCAACCACTAAAGGAGGAACAGGAGCTTCTGGATTCAACCACTAAAGGAGGAACAGGAGCTCCTGGATTCAACCACTAAAGGAGGAACAGGAGCTTCTGGATTCAACCACTAAAGGAGGAACAGGAGCTTCTGGATTCAACCACTAAAGGAGGAACAGGAGCTCCTGGATTCAACCACTAAAGGAGGAACAGGAGCTCTGGATTCAACCACTAAAGGAGGAACAGGAGCTCCTGGATTCAACCACTAAAGGAGGAACAGGAGCTCCTGGATTCAACCACTAAAGGAGGAACAGGAGCTCCTGGATTCAACCACTAAAGGAGGAACAGGAGCTTCCTGGATTCAACCAATAAAGGAGGAACAGGAGCTCCTGGATTCAACCATTAAAGGAGGAACAGGAGCTTCTGGATTCAACCACTAAAGGAGGAACAGGAGCTTCTGGATTCAACCACTAAAGGAGGAACAGGAGCTTCTGGATTCAACCACTAAAGGAGGAACAGGAGCTTCTGGATTCAACCACTAAAGGAGGAACAGGAGCTCCTGGATTCAACCACTAAAGGAGGAACAGGAGCTCCTGGATTCAACCATAAAGGAGGAACAGGAGCTCCTGGATTCAACCATTAAAGGAGGAACAGGAGCTTCTGGATTCAACCAATAAAGGAGGAACAGGAGCTCCTGGGTTCAAACCATTAAAGGAGGAACAGGGGCTCCTGGATTCAACCACTAAAGGAGGAACAGGAGCTCCGGGGCCAAAAGGGGGCAGAGCCCTGATTCCCAACCACTTAAGGAAAAAAGCTCCAAGATTTTGAAGGAGGGAACAGGAACCCCTTTATTTCCCCCCACTAAATAAAACGGACTTTTCCGGATTTAAACCCCAAAAGAAAAACGTTGGATTCACCCTAAGGGGGAAACGAGTTTCTGTTCAACATTAAATGACGGTTTTTCCCATAAAGAGGAAAGGCTCCTGATTAACCAGACAAGACAAGCTCTGGGTTAAACCAAAAAAGGGGAAAAGGGCTCCGGATTCACCCAAAAGGGGGAAAACCCTGGATCAACCATCACAAGGGGCTGATGTTCTTCCAAACAACACTAAAAGGAGACGGAAGGTTGGAGTCAACCACTAATTGAACCCGGAGCTGGATTCACCACAAAGAGGAAAGGGCCCCGCTAACCAGGAGGCGGGCTCTATTAACCAAAAGGAAAAGCCCATTCAAAATCTAAAGGGGGGGGCCTTTCCCCCCTGGGGGAAACAGGATCCTTTCCATAAAAGAGGAAGGGCCCGATTCAAAACGGGGAAAGGAACCCGGAAACCCGTTTCCCTGGCGGCAGGGTCCTGATTCTCCCTGTCAAACTCCCGAAAATGAAGGAGGGCGGAGCCCCGTTTTCCCAATGGGGACTCCTGGTCAACGGGAACAGACTCCTGCCCCCTAGGAGACCCGGGTTCCGGTTCAAACCACCAGAACAGGAGCTTGGGTTCCCAAAAGGACAGAACTCGGAGCGTCCCTTAAAGGGGAAAAGAGCAGGGATTAACCTAAAAAGGGGGCGGAGGCGCTTGATTTAACCAATAAATGCGGGGCTCCTGGTTAAATGGGACGGAGCCCTTTTCCCTGGAGGCCCGGGGCTCCTTTTCCCAAACCTAAAGGAGGACAACCTGGGCAAACCAATAAAGGCCCGGCAGGGGGTCCTTCCCTAAAGGGGGAAAAGGCTTCGGAATTTACCAAAAAGGCAAGGGGCGCCTGATTTCCCTTTAAAGGCAGGAGCTCCTATCCACCAAACGAGGCAGGGGAGCTCTGTGACCAACACAAAGGAGGAAAGGAAACTTTGGGTCCACCCTGAGGGAAGACGAGAGGCGTCAGTCTGAGCGCGCCCAGAAGCACCGCCGGCAGACGAGGAGCTGATCCGACCTGCTGCAGGTGGAACATGACGGCGGAGAAGGCCTCCTGCAGAACCCCGAGGACCTGCTGGCTCTGCTGCAGGCTGAGGGAGGAGCCGGGAGGCGGCGCCGCGTCTAAGGAGGTGCAGGCCTGCTCCATGGCGGCCTCCATGATGCGGTAACATCCTGCAGAGGGGAAGAGTCTGCTAAATTACCATGAAGGACCAACCGCTCCCTCTGAATGCTCTAACTGGAACCGGTCGGGTCCGTTTGGGTTCAGTCTGCAGAACCACGAAGGCCGGAGCGCGTGGTTCTGACCGGCTGAGCTTCAGACGGTCCAATAATATCCGGATCTTCCCAGTAAAACCTACTTCCTCTGGTTCCAGAACCAATATAACCCAGAAGGACGGAGACTGTACCTGTGAGCGTGTTCTGCAGCTCTGCGCTCAGATCGTTCCCAGGAGGTTCTTCCAAAGCCATCCTGACCTCCACGCAGGCCCGGTTCACCAGCAGGCAGCAGAACTTGGGTGAACCAGCCGACTCCCAGCCGTACAGGTCCAGTAAGCAGGCACCGAGGACCAGAACCGGGCCCATCTGTTTGGGCGTTAACTTGGCCTGCAGCATGGGTCTGAGCGCCGCCCACACGCTGCTTACCGCCTCCTTCAGCTCCTCGCTCTGCGACGCCACGCCTGCGGGGGGCAGGAACACCACCAAGGAGGAGCACATCTGGAAGCGGCTCAGGTCCGCCGACCGGAGCAAGTCTCTGGAGAGTCGGAGCAGCAGAGACAGGAGCTCTGCTTGGTGGTTCCTCCAGGCTTTCTCTTTGGCTTTACTGCAGAGCAGGATCCCGAGAAGGGAGAGCGCCCTCTGGTGGGTCGGGGTCCGGTTCTGTTCCACGGCCCGGCACAGAGCAGGGACGGCCCCCCGGTTCAGGAGCTGCTCGGGGCCCCTGGGTAGAGCGCACACAGCCGTCAGAACCTGGAAGCAGTCAGCAGCCACGGCCTGCTCCAGTCTGGAGGCTGCAGACCCGTCTGCATCGCTGCCTTCATCCCCAGCAGAACTCCTCCTCCTCCTCGCCTCATTGGGCCCTCTGGGAAGGTCCTCTGGGCCGACCCCGGCCCGGTTCTGCTGGTGACACACCCACCCGTCGGCCAGGAGGTCCAGCAGCAGGGGAACGGTGGCAAGCAGCTGGGGGTGGGCGGCCATGACGGGGTCTGCGCTCAGGGCGGCGAGCAGAGCCGCGCCCAGAGAGAGCAGCTCCTGGGGGGGCAGAGCTGATCCGTCGGCCCCCCGAACGGCCGTCACCAGGAGCCGGGCCAGCAGGTTTAGGCCCACCGCGTCAAAGATGCGCCGTACGGTGGATTTATCCAGCTGGTTGGCCGGGCACAGGCGGGTCATCTGCAGAGAGAACAGAGTCAGAACAGAACCCACCGCTCCAGGTCCAGTTAGCACCGTACAGGACATGGATGGAGTCAGAACCGGACTACCACCATGGACCTGGAGGCAGAACTCTGCCTCTTTGAAGAACCCCAAGACCTGATTACAGCCGGGCGTACAATCTGCCATTTCTTCATGGGTTGCACGCAGCTGCAGCTCATGATGTCTGCGCAACCCGACGCTCTGATGCCATCTACCTGCTCACTCCGTACGTCTAAACACCAGGTGGGACTCGGCTCCGCAGTGAGATGGCGCTACTGGGACTCGTCTATCTGGAAGCCAAACCAGTAGCAGAGGAACATGAAGCTCACTAGAGTGAAACGCGCTGCCTTGGATATTTGGGCGATTTAGTGCTGAAAGCCCTAAAGAGAAAAGGAGACGACGTATTTGGACAAAGACATGGCTGAGCTAACGTGGCTACTACGGTCTGTCAGTTTGACAGGAAGAACTCCATTTCAATCATTGCCCCCCCGCCATGCTGCTGGGTTTACATCTGAGGGGAAGAAGAAGAAGAATCCTTGTTTTCCCACTGAAGGCCGGATTTATCAAGATCCAATTTTGCGTGCAGTAATTTGCGCTCGCAAACTGGAATTTTGCGCGAGGGGCTGGACCATGGTTTGGGGATGATTTAACAAGAGCGATTGCGTAACTGGTGGCAGGTGCAAAACTGTTGGAGACGCCCTATTTAAATGAGGGTTTTGCGCGTTTTGTGGTTTGCGGCATGGCGAGTTTGGACAGCAGAAAGCGCAAAAGGAAAGTCGACCCCATGGAAATGGAGGTATTGGTGGATGAAACCAACAAACATTTAAGTGAGCTACAGCAAAGAAGTGTGACTGTCACACAGAGGAACGCTATATGTGAACAAATCTGTAATAAAGTAAACGCTGTTGGTGAAACCTTGCGAACAGTGGATGAAGTAAAAGAAGATACCAGGATATTAGAAGGCGAACCAAAGAAAAACTGGCATATAACAAAACATCTGCGAACAAAAGAGGAGGGGGCACAGTAGATGAGATGCCTCTGACCAGCATTGAGGAACAAGTACAGCTGACGCGCTGTGAGGAGCAAATCACTGGAATTGCAGCTCCAAAATGGCAATGCTGGATAAACGATATGTTTTGATCGTTTCCTCGTTCATTCCAAAAATATTCACACGGAGTGAAAAAATGCGTTCTCTGCGTCTCCTTGCTTCATTTCCATGTCTCCTTCTTGCGACAATAACCGCTGCCATGTGTGCGCAATTACGCATACAGACCATTTGCACCTTCTTTTGAAACGTGTTAAATATAGAGTCAGATACCGTTAGCAAAATTGCTTTCAGGTTTAATAAATCACTTTGCGAGTGCTAAATTAATATATTTACATGTTCTCCTCCCACAAGACGCACTTTTGCGTGTGAACGCCCCATATTGCATATTCATAGCAGAAAAAGTACTAAATGGATAAGAGGCGCTATTTAGCACGTTTTAAAGACCAAATCCTTTTAGCACGCTGTTGATAGATCAGTTTGTACTTTTTTTAGCGTGCGCAGTGAAATAGCTTACGTTTTTATACACGCAAACCTTTGATAGATCCGGCCCTGAGTGATTTGTCCACCACCGCCTTACGACGGCCGACTAAATTTCAAACATGTTTGATTTTCTCTCAACCTTAATATTCCTGATGGGGGGGCGGTCGTTAGAGGCTGATCGCCCCCCCTTACCCCCTGGTCACCATGCACCATCAGGCTGGAAGTCGGCCTGTAAAGGGCCCAGTGTACGCCTGGCTTAATGGAACACAGAGCTAACCATCACAGAATCTGGCTTCAATTTAACCCCAACTGCTCCGTTTCTGCAGACGGGTCAACAGTTAACGGGTCGGACCAGAACCAGCGGCTTCTGAAACTGGAACCGAGCAACGGGGTCAAACCTCAAAGCGATCTGCCTTTAGCTAATGATGATGTCACCTTCACGATGATGATGAAGATGGTGTGTTTGATCCAGAGCAGCATGGCAGGATGGTTGGAAAGACAGGTTCCCCCTCTGAGCTAGCGGGTTCCCTCTGAGCTAGCAGGTTCCCTCTGTTAGCTAGCGGGTTCCCCCTCTCTGAGCTAGCGGGTTCCCCCTCTCTGAGCTAGCGGGTTCCCCCTCTGAGCTAGCAGGTTCCCCCTCTCTGAGCTAGCAGGTTCCCTCTGAGCTAGCAGGTTCCCTCTGTTAGCTAGCGGGTTCCCCCTCTCTGAGCTAGCAGGTTCCCCCTCTCTGAGCTAGCGGGTTCCCCCTCTGAGCTAGCGGGTTCTCTCTGTTAGCTAGCGGGTTCCCCCTCTCTGAGCTAGCGGGTTCCCTGTGTTAGCTAGCGGGTTCCCCCTCTCTGAGCTAGCGGGTTCCCTCTGTTAGCTAGCAGGTTCCCCCTCTCTGAGCTAGGGGGTTCCCTCTGAACTAGCGGGTTCCTTCTGTTAGCTAGCAGGTTCCCTCTGAGCTAGCGGGTTCCCCCTCTCTAAGCTAGCAGGTTCCCTCTAAGCTAGCAGGTTCCCTCTGAGCTAGCTGGTTCCCCCTCTGAGTTAGCGGGTTCCCCCTCTGAGCTAGCAGGTTCCCCCCTCTGAGCTAGGGGGTTCCCCCCTCTGAGCTAGCGGGTTCCCCCTCTGAGCTAGCTGGTTCCCCCTCTGAGCTAGCGGGTTCCCTCTGTTAGCTAGCAGGTTCCCCCTCTCTGAGCTAGGGGGTTCCCTCTGAACTAGCGGGTTCCTTCTGTTAGCTAGCAGGTTCCCTCTGAGCTAGCGGGTTCCCCCTCTCTAAGCTAGCAGGTTCCCTCTAAGCTAGCAGGTTCCCTCTGAGCTAGCTGGTTCCCCCTCTGAGTTAGCGGGTTCCCCCTCTGAGCTAGCAGGTTCCCCCCTCTGAGCTAGGGGGTTCCCCCCTCTGAGCTAGCGGGTTCCCCCTCTGAGCTAGCTGGTTCCCCCTCTGAGCTAGCGGGTTCCCCCTCTCTAAGCTAGCAGGTTCCCTCTAAGCTAGCAGGTTCCCTCTGAGCTAGCTGGTTCCCCCTCTGAGCTAGCGGGTTCCCCCTCTGAGCTAGCAGGTTCCCCCCTCTGAGCTAGGGGGTTCCCCCCTCTGAGCTAGCGGGTTCCCCCTCTGAGCTAGCTGGTTCCCCCTCTGAGCTAGCGGGTTCCCCCTCTGAGCTAGCTGGTTCCCCCTCTGAGCTAGCGGGTTCCCCCTCTGAGCTAGCAGGTTCCCCCCTCTGAGCTAGGGGGTTCCCCCCTCTGAGCTAGCGGGTTCCCCCTCTGAGCTAGCGGGTTCCCCCCTCTGAGCTAGCGGGTTCCCCCTCTGAGCTAGCAGCTTCTTTCTCTGTGAGCTAGCAGTTCTCCCTGTGAAATCAGGACTTCTCTCCTGCTTCCCACCATCTTTCAGGTAACCTGTCCAGGTGTCCCTATGCCCCGCCCCTCAGAACTCACCAGCAGCAGCGCAGCTAACGTCTGGCTATCATTCTTGGCGTGCCTGAGCGCGTGCAGACATCTGTCCAACATCTGTCTCTGGGCTTCAGTGAGAGATCCTCCTTCTGCTACTCCCTGCTCATCTTCTTCAGCAGCCTGGTCAGCCATAGTAACCCTGGTAACGGGTAACCCTAGCAACCAGGAACAACAGCCGCTGTCGGTTAAATGAGCTAAAAGTGTTAAAGCTGACAGGAAAAAGGGTTTTCAGTCTTTAACTTTCTGAGCTTAAACTTCTCCAACACGCAGGAGCAGGTGAGCGAAGCCGTCTGTCAAAATAAACCGTCAGGGACCAATAAAAACCGCCGTTACTTACCAAGGACCAATCACAGCACGACTTGTTATAAAGTCAGGGCGCCATTTTAAACAGCGCTATGAAAACGGTGCATTGACTGGGTTAGCACCATTCTCCTGCCGGCGCGTTAGCCGGGTTAGAAAGGGCTAACAGGGCGGGATTTCACTGGTCCTTAAACAGGAAAGATGAAATACACCGAGCTGAGAAACGGCGGTCTACATAAAGCCCGTAACGATGTGATAAACCAGATAACCGACCCATTCCCAAAGGCGGCGTTCAAGAGTTCTCCTCTCACATCGTCTCTTTTTCCCAAGTGGCCTTCCGGCTGACGGCAAGGAAGGGAACCAGTGACTGTACAGGGACTCAGGTATGGAAGCAAATCGTTACCATATTTCAAATGAAAAAGCATTTCTGAAATGCTTTTTTATTTTAAGAATGTGGCTGCATCGTTTGACTCATAAATGAAATTAGTAATCAATAATCCTGTTTGCATTTTAATTTTCTTCTTTAACACCTCTCATCCTTTTACTTAATTAAAATGAAAAAGACATTTGAGATTTATTTTTCACAATGTACCCCAGCAAATACATCTCAAAATTCAATTTGAAATGTAAAATTTGAAAATGAAAAAGCATTTCCAGAAATGCTTTTTCATTTTAAGAATGTGGCTGCATTACTTGACTCATACAGAAAATTAGTAATCAATCATTAGTTCAACCTTTTTAGGGGGCGCTGTGCACATCTGCATTGCATTACCCTCATTAGCTCTGCCACTGTTTTGGTCATTGTGGTCATTCAGTGCGTCCCGATAGTCAGACCCGGCAATTCAAGCAGTGTCCCAGCGGCATGCTTACAATGTAATGCAATGCAGACGTGCACAGCGCCCCCTACCGAACAAGATGGGTAGCCCGGTCAGCAAGGACCTGAGGAAGAGCAGCTGCTGACGTCACTCTGCTGCACCCGCCGCTCAGAATGCTTTCTCGTTTTTGAGTTGTGGACGGTACTTTGCTGGCAGACCACGGAAACGAAAAAGCAATGTCCGCTGTGTTTTCTCTTTGATTATGGCATAAAATGTGCAGCCTTAAAGAAGAAAATGAAAATGCAAATAGGATGATTGATTACTAATTTCATTTATGAGTCAAACGATGCTGCCACATTCTTCATTTCAGAAATGCTTTTTCATTTGAAATACGGTAACGATTTGCTTCCATACTCAGAGGGGTCAAACGTCCACAATCATCTTCTGCTACTGTTGGCCGCGTTTTATGGAAAACGATGAGGGCCACTGAAAAAAAAAAAGATTTTTTAATATTATTTCACTTTTTTTCTCAGAATTCTGACTTTAATCTGAGAATTGTGGATCTTAATGTAGATGGTCTCCATGAAGGCAGAGATGTGGAGCTCTCAGCTTCAGTTGTTTGAGAGGAACAGGAACACTTTGACGGAAAATGATGGAATTAGGAGACTTTTCCGTCCCTGAGGATCCCTGCTGATGCTGTTTGATTAATGGAAGAGCAGAAGGAGATTAAAACAAGAGTCTCTAAAACAGACACGACTACGGCTGGATGCTAACATGTTTGTTAGCTGACAGAATTCAGTCAGAATCCTGAGATTAAAGTCAGAATCCTGAGATTAAAGTCAGAATCCTGAGATTAAAGTCAGAGTTCTGAGATTAAAGTCAGAGTCCTGAGATTAAAGTCAGAGTTCTGAGATTAAAGTCAGAGTTCTGAGATTAAAGTCAGAGTCCTGAGATTAAAGTCAGAGTTCTGAGATTAAAGTCAGAGTTCTGAGATTAAAGTCAGAGTTCTGAGATTAAAGTCAGAGTTCTGAGATTAAAGTCAGAGTTCTGAGATTAAAGTCAGAGTTCTGAGATTAAAGTCAGAGTTCTGAGATTAAAGTCAGAGTTCTGAGATTAAAGTCAGAATCCTGAGATTAAAGTCAGAGTTCTGAGATTAAAGTCAGAGTTCTGAGATTAAAGTCAGAGTTCTGAGATTAAAGTCAGAGTTCTGAGATTAAAGTCAGAGTTCTGAGATTAAAGTCAGAGTTCTGAGATTAAAGTCAGAGTTCTGAGATTAAAGTCAGAGTTCTGAGATTAAAGTCAGAATCCTGAGATTAAAGTCAGAATCCTGAGATTAAAGTCAGAATCCTGAGATTAAAGTCAGAATCCTGAGATTAAAGTCAGAGTCCTGAGATTAAAGTCAGAGTTCTGAGATTAAAGTCAGAGTTCTGAGATTAAAGTCAGAGTTCTGAGATTAAAGTCAGAGTTCTGAGATTAAAGTCAGAGTTCTGAGATTAAAGTCAGAGTCCTGAGATTAAAGTCAGAGTTCTGAGATTAAAGTCAGAATCCTGAGATTAAAGTCAGAGTTCTGAGATTAAAGTCAGAGTCCTGAGATTAAAGTCAGAGTTCTGAGATTAAAGTCAGAGTTCTGAGATTAAAGTCAGAGTTCTGAGATTAAAGTCAGAGTTCTGAGATTAAAGTCAGAGTTCTGAGATTAAAGTCAGAGTCCTGAGATTAAAGTCAGAGTTCTGAGATTAAAGTCAGAGTTCTGAGATTAAAGTCAGAATCCTGAGATTAAAGTCAGAGTTCTGAGATTAAAGTCAGAGTCCTGAGATTAAAGTCAGAGTTCTGAGATTAAAGTCAGAGTTCTGAGATTAAAGTCAGAGTTCTGAGATTAAAGTCAGAGTTCTGAGATTAAAGTCAGAGTTCTGAGATTAAAGTCAGAGTTCTGAGATTAAAGTCAGAGTCCTGAGATTAAAGTCAGAGTTCTGAGATTAAAGTCAGAATCCTGAGATTAAAGTCAGAGTTCTGAGATTAAAGTCAGAGTCCTGAGATTAAAGTCAGAGTTCTGAGATTAAAGTCAGAGTTCTGAGATTAAAGTCAGAGTTCTGAGATTAAAGTCAGAGTTCTGAGATTAAAGTCAGAGTTCTGAGATTAAAGTCAGAGTTCTGAGATTAAAGTCAGAGTTCTGAGATTAAAGTCAGAGTCCTGAGATTAAAGTCAGAGTTCTGAGATTAAAGTCAGAGTTCTGAGATTAAAGTCAGAGTCCTGAGATTAAAGTCAGAGTTCTGACCTTCTTCCCATATTAAACTGAAATGTTTAAAAGCTTAACTTTTTTTAAAAGGTTAACTTTTTTTCAGTGGCCCTAATCGTCTTCCGTAAAGTTGTATTTCCACAAATGTAAAATTATTATGATTAAACCCATGTGTCTCTTTTTAAAGCAGGAAACAACTTATTTTTCGACATTTTCCTCTAATCTGTTAAGATTTTATCTTTATGCTCTAAATTCAAAGTATTTATATAATCCCCTCACATGCTTCTTTGTGTAGCTTTACTTAATTACTGTTACTGCTTTTACTTTCATTCAGTTATTTTTAATTATTATTATTTTTGTTCTTTAGACTTTAGACTCACTCTGGTGATTGTTAACTGGAAATTATTTCTTTGTGTTATAAAGAAAACGTCTGTTATCTGATAAACGGGAAACATTCTGTTCAGTTTACTGTTTCCTGATGAGGGAAATCTGAGCGTGAAAAGATGTAGAGCTAGATCTACCAGATCTACTGGTTCTAATAGAAGACAATGGGCACACAGCCAGAAATGTAAAGAAATTAAGCATAGATTAGATGTATTAGACGGGGCAACGGCGTTTGGATGACCCGTTTGGCTGATGGGAGCTGAAAGGTCCTGATTCTCCGGTTTATGTTAGACTCCTCTGAGGATCCAGTTGCTCATGAAAGGCAGGTGGCAGAGAGGAATGTTTCTCAACTCATCACAACTGGAAATATATCTTCACTCTCAGTCTCACAGTCTGCAGCCATTAAATATCACAGACTGATAAACTTTGGAGAGAATATGGTTGGGGTGGGGGGGTAGATGCAGAATTCATCTCTGTAACAGAGTCTTCATCGGTTTGCCTAAAAAGTAGATCAGCTGATCCAGACGCTGCTGCCTGCGTCCTCACTAGAACTATAGAAAGTAGATCAGACAGCTGATCCAGACGCTGCTGCCTGCGTCCTCACTAGAACTATAGAAAGTAGATCAGACAGCTGATCCAGACGCTGCTGCCTGCGTCCTCACTAGAACTATAGAAAGTAGATCAGACAGCTGATCCAGACGCTGCTGCCTGCGTCCTCACTAGAACTATAGAAAGTAGATCAGACAGCTGATCCAGACGCTGCCGCCTGCGTCCTCACTAGAACTATAGAAAGTAGATCAGACAGCTGATCCAGACGCTGCCGCCCGCGTCCTCACTAGAACTATAGAAAGTAGATCAGACAGCTGATCCAGACGCTGCTGCCTGCGTCCTCACTAGAACTATAGAAAGTAGATCAGACAGCTGATCCAGACGCTGCTGCCTGCGTCCTCACTAGAACTATAGAAAGTAGATCAGACAGCTGATCCAGACGCTGCTGCCTGCGTCCTCACTAGAACTATAGAAAGTAGATCAGACAGCTGATCCAGACGCTGCTGCCTGCGTCCTCACTAGAACTATAGAAAGTAGATCAGACAGCTGATCCAGACGCTGCTGCCTGCGTCCTCACTAGAACTATAGAAAGTAGATCAGACAGCTGATCCAGACGCCGCTGCCTGCGTCCTCACTAGAACTATAGAAAGTAGATCAGACAGCTGATCCAGACGCTGCTGCCTGCGTCCTCACTAGAACTATAGAAAGTAGATCAGACAGCTGATCCAGACGCTGCCGCCTGCGTCCTCACTAGAACTATAGAAAGTAGATCAGCTGATCCAGACGCTGCCGCCTGCGTCCTCACTAGAACTATAGAAAGTAGATCAGACAGCTGATCCAGACGCTGCTGCCTGCGTCCTCACTAGAACTATAGAAAGTAGATCAGACAGCTGATCCAGACGCTGCTGCCTGCGTCCTCACTAGAACTATAGAAAGTAGATCAGACAGCTGATCCAGACGCTGCTGCCTGCGTCCTCACTAGAACTATAGAAAGTAGATCAGACAGCTGATCCAGACGCTGCTGCCTGCGTCCT